GATTGCGGTTGCTGTTTCACTTCTATATTTAGTACGTTTGAAAGGCACGTGCAAACTGACACAGCATTACGCACGGTCATTGTGGAGAGAAGGAGGCAGAAGTGTCATGATCCTGTCCAAAAGCTTGTAATTTATTTTGTTCTTCTTGTAAATGACTGTTTTCATAAATAATAAGGTCAAACAGGAACAGACGAAAAAAAAGTATCTGTGTGTCTTAAATTGATGATTTTAAATCAGTGAACAATCAGTGCCACTCCAGAGGGCCAGGCCTCACTTGTCTTGTTGAAACTACTTTGAGTACCATGGACAGTAATGTTCACACTAGGATTTAAACTGAGGCCTAAATAACTTTGATTGATAATCATTCTTATAATAAATAATGCTTTGACTTGTCAGTATGCTCTCTTGTCACTGCTGAATTTAGTTCATGTAGTGCAGTGGTTCTCAAGTCCAGTCCTCGAGGCCCACTGTCCTGCATGTTTTGGATGTTTCCCTGCTCCAACACACCTGATTCAAATGATCAGCTCGTTATCAAGCTCTGCAATGGCTTAATAACGAGCTGATCATTTGAATCAGGTGTGTTGGAGTGGGCCTCCAGGACTGGACTTGAGAACCACTGATGTAGTGTATCTGCAAGCAACATCTAATTTTACTTAACGTACATGAAACATGACCATTTAGGACACAAGCAGCAAATAGTTTCACCATGGGGCGCCTTGTTCATGGTCTCAGTGATTAAAGCTGTTATTAAAAAGAAAGATAATTATACTTGATCTCTAATGCAGAAGTGATACGTTTGCAGTAGCTGTAGATTTGTAACACATACATTAACTTACTTCTTTAGATAATGATAAGAATATTAGTATTTGTACTAAGAAGAAATATTTTAATTTAATCTGAAAGTTTTATTCGTGCTTTCTTCCAGTCTTTTGACTTTAAAAACATCCATTTACCTGTAAGTGTTATAGAAAACCCCCTTATTCACTTGAATGAATTCTTTCTTTTGTAAACTCAAATATCGTTTTCTCAATATTTGCACAGATAAACTGCAAAACTTGCATGACTTTACCCGCTTTTGCAATTCCTCTCCTTATTTTCAGTTCACTTCCCTCATAAATAAAGTCTCACCCCAGAATACACGTGGATTACATACACATTAAACAATCCTATAATGCACAAAATGCACAAGGTATTCAAATGAGGCCATGATATTTCATTAGACACATGATTGCAATACACAGTTTATACAGCAAATTTTTCATTCAGATATGCTGAATCATTTATTTCAAATCTTTCACGACCCGATGCACAACTATGGACAGTTACTCATCCTATGATTTGTAGCAAACTTATTTCAATACGAGAAAAACAAAGAAAAATGCAACAAATGAAGATAAATAACACATTTACATTTGGTGTAGACTTCAGTTGCTGACAAGTCTGCTTCAGAATGTGTCTGAGTTTTTTGTCAGTTTAATTTATGAGTCATTTTCTATGAGCAGAGAGAGAGAGGGGGGAGGTGGGTTAAAAATGTTTGTTTTTTGCTTGTTTGCATTCCTATTTTTTTCCCCTTCTAAACAACTTTTTTGTGACTTTGAAATTCAGGTAGAGACAATGTCATTTTAACATACAGTACATTATTATCTTGCCTCACAGTGTGTCTGTCTACAGAGTATAGGAGGAAAAAATATAATAAAATTTGGATTACAAGGCCCAAAAAAATATAAACAAAAGAAAGAAGGAGAAAAAAAAATATCATCATCTCAAGGGGCTTCTTTTCTGGAGAGAAACTTTAAGCAGGGAAGAATCTCAGCCTCTGTAAACACAGAAAAGCTATCATTATTCTAAAAGTAGGAATAAAGAGATGTATCCCCAGAGAGGGTGTCTGCTGTGGAGTGGAGGAATTATGAACATGCAGCTGTGCTGATGAACTCAGAGAGGGAAGTTCAGCCTGTGATCAATGAGCAGGTTGCATATATCCTGAGAAGACTTAAGCTTGACACACAGCACAGCTTGTGCAACAGTGACATCTTTTGGTTTGTCCTCTGCTGGTGGAGCTGAGGCTGTCGTCAGTGCTGCCTGCCGGCCGGCCAGCCACACTACAGTAAGTAAAGATTATGATCACATTATGCAAATCACTGTTCCATCTGTACACAGCTCCCTTGTGTTTGCCTGCACTCTCCCTTTTGTGTTCTGACAGTTATTTGAGTCCTCGAGGCGACAGTAAGTTTGACTGTGCAGCCATGTGTCGACAAGGCTGAAGGTGATAGGAAGTCTTGCTCTGACAAATACGCTTGAATATATTATGCTGTTCCAGGTGCAGTGTGCTGGCTGAGCATGAAATGAGCTTTCAGAGGTGAGCTGGAGCAGCCAACAAATAAAAACCTTGACTACAAAATGTTCCAGGGTGAACATGGTTTTGTTTCGACTCCTTAGTGCGTACCTGATAAACTTTTTAACACTTGATACAGTTTTCCCACACATTTTTATTTTTATTTTTATTGCTATTGGTTGTTAGGCTGGACTAATATAATTGAAAACTTTGCAGCATACTTAACCGTAATCAATCAGTGTTTGACTTCAAAGTTGCGACTCTATAATACCACCTGACACAAAGCCTGGTCTGATATGTCTCTCAGCATCAATTATAACAGTAGTAATGAAAATCTCTCTGTCTTAATTTAGAATTTGCCATATTACCATGTATAAATGGCTTAAGCAAATGCTTGGTCAAAACTGAAACTTTGAACATCATATTCAATTATAGTTAACTAGTAGTTGGCTGTGAGTGCTTATACAAGTGTTTAAGAATAAAAAGTAGCCGGCTTTGCCTCCTAAATGTGGTTGAGTGAAGTTACAAGCAAGTATTTATTTAATACTTGTTAAGTACTCTGAATGTAGTAGGGCCAGTACTTAAGTAAATATACCTTGTTACTCTACCGGTGGATAAACAGACACCAAAGACAGTTCCATTATGTTGAGTTTGTTGCAGCAATTTTCCTCATATCTGTAATATTACAAAAAATAGCTTTAGGTCATATCAGCAATCTTAGGAATGAGACTGATGTTATAACTGGCTCTTCTTATATGTTGAAATAAATAGTGCCTTGGCCATAAAAAAAAAAAATCTAGATACATGATGAACTAGCTGTGGGTAGTTGCTATACCATTCAAATAAGGTATAAGAGACGCAATATTAGCTTAATATTGCAGATAACATGATCAGTAATGTTATATTTTCAGTGCAAAATCATAAATTAGTCCTTGCTATTCAGGCACCAATGAAACAGAGTGCCTGATTGATTATTTTGTTTCATTTGGAGTCAGTTAAAATACAAACATCAATACAAATAATCATCCAAAAAAGTCACTCCAAAAGCGCCCAGGTTGTTAATTGGTAGATCCCTATCAGTTTTTCATATAGTCTAATGGTGTTCCAGAGGGCTTGTATAGGTTCAAACCAGCCCTCTAAGCACCCAGGCTACTTTAAAAGGTGTTATTTTTCTCCTAATTTGAGGCTGAAAACATTGGCTTGTAAATTTATCCAAATTAATGTTAATAGTCAAATAGGATTCCTTAATAGAAAGCAATAAACCTTCCTCTGTTTTGATTCATTAAGTCAGAATGTCACACTCTTCATGTGGCTCTCTAGGTTTAAATATACACCAGTGAGAGTACATGTGATGAACCTGATCATTGTGTGCTAAAATTGAAAAAAAAAAAAAAAAAAGTGATTATCCTTGTTCCCTGTGTGCATGTTCGATAGAGGCCTACATTGTTTTTTAATGGGCCTGGGTCTTCAGATCACATTAATCTGGGTCATACTGGGAGCCTTCTTCTCTTTTTAAAAGTGCTCTGAAATAGAGCATAAAGTGAAGTTGGCTTCAAAAGCCATCAACTAAGTACTTTAAAACACTCTGAAGTCAGCTCTTCGTTATCTCCAGGGGAAATGTGTGGCCTGCACAACATCCGTAAATGAAACATCAGCCTAATTTTTTTTTCTTTAATAGTTTTATATTAGGTTACTCCATGTGTCTGTTTTTCCTTTGTTTAATTCTAGTGCTGGTGAAAATGCAGTAGAATATCTTCACAATGGTTTATTTATCTTGGCTCGGGAATTGAGGACAGGGAACTGCTCCATGTCGGTGAAGTGAGAATAAAGGGAGTGATTTCTGCCCTGACCCTTCCGCATCTGCGCCCTGAAGCTTCCAACTGTGTCAAGAGTAAAAGTCTGCAGCATTCTGCCAGAAAAGCGACGAGTTTTTGTCATAATAAAAGCGTCTGTTTCTTTAAGGGGTCAGTTTGCTAAGCTAAACATACCGGTGTGCAGCTGCAACAAATGAATTGGTAGTTATTATGACACGCTAATATCATTTGTTAAGGATAATCTGTGAATACAATCATAATTAAAGATATTATTATTATTTTTAAAGTTTTTATTATTATTTTTTTAATTATTTTTTGTTTGTTTCTTAAGGTCCTTACACACTGGGACCAACGCGAATGTAGGACAAGAAATTACGAAATATTCAGAGGCAAATTTTGACGCGCCTGACGGTACACATCAAGCGCGATGCGATTTTGCGACTTTCCGATTTTTCAATCAGCCGGTCAGCCATGTTGGATATACTGGTGAATCTGACGTTGAACAACACGTGATCTGATTGGTCAGAAGTGGACACACACAGTATGCTAAACTTTAGAAAAAATGACCGTGAAACGAAAAAAATAAATGCCGCAATATCGCAGGACGGGAAAACGTCGCTGATGTGAACGTTTGTATTGACAGGATATGGGTTCGAAAAAAAAATTTGACGTCTGAAATAATCGCACGAAAAAAACGCTCCTGGTGTGAAGGACCTTTAGTCCAAATATAAGGTATGCTCACGAGTGTGTACACTTAACTATCTTTGTCAATTCTAAAGTTTTATTTAAAAACATATAAAAGGCTTATACTAAAACCACAAATGAAGTTGTTGTGAAATCCTTGTGTTAACCAGTAAAAACAGCACTTGTAAACAATTCTTTGTGTTTCTAGGAATGACTGTGGACGTGCGGCTTTTATTTTGAAAGTGAACAGGAAGTGCTTCTGTTTTTCGCTGTCTCGACACCTTCCTGCTCCTCTGAAGTTGTGGTGGAAGTTTCCCTCAGATCCATCTAATGAACTTAGTTCATTTAAAAAGTGCTGCAGAGAGATGAGTGGACAGACCGTCCCTGCGGACTTTACAGAACACATGTTGGACCTGGACGAGGACGAAGACCTGGAGGTTTTCAGCAAGGTAAAAGAAAAAAGCCTCTAATCAAGACGAAAGCTTGATACTTTGAAATGCTTGCCTGACTTGCTACGTGTATTTGCCACATGTACTACTTTCCCTCGTTTAAAGTCACACTTGTAGAAGCAAATATGCGTGAGAAGTTTAGTACAGATCTTGTGACAGTCTGTGGTGAATCGCTGACTGTCACGAAGAAAGGCCAGCTCTCCGAGTTTCCTTGATCAGCTGATGGGCTGACCTTAGGACCCTGCTGTCCTGTCTGCTTTAAGAGTGGATTTTATGGAAAGAGTGGTGCTAAACTCAGTTGAACTTGTAAAAAGTTTGATGTTGAAGCTTTAACTACGAAAAACCCGCAAGAACCTTCACCTGTGTCCACGAATTTAATTCATTCAGGCTCCAAAACAACCAAGAAACAACCACAGAAATGGTAGCTTTGGATGAATTATAGTAGCAGAATAAGACTTAAGGATAATGTGTTTGTCTGGAAGACTGTAGCCCTTTATTGCCCTTTGTATCATATTTGATACATACTTTTATGATACTTCTATCAAATCAATGTGATCAGCAAATCACTAAACAACACCTGAATACAGTCCGATAACTGATAAAAATGTCCTCTTGTGGTTTATCAGTTTCCAAAAACATCTAATGTATCAAACAAGATCAATAAATATATTCGTTAAATGTTAAGGACATTTTGACTTTTTTGTTTTTCAGTAATAAGTGAAATAAACATTTCAGCTCCCAAACTATTTGAATTTTCTGGCCATAATTTGTGGTTTCAGGCATTAAAGGGTCTGTGTTTTGAGAACATTTGTAATCACTTAAGTTTGATTGTCATAATGGTTATTCTTGATCTGCCTGCACAAACATACTAATGCATTACTCTGGGTTAGCACCAAGACTAACAGATGATTTAAATATGCCAAAACATATAAAAACAAAGACTCAAAGTGGTTAAAGTAAATATATGTCTAATATATCTCGAATTGATATTTCAGTGTTCACAGGGAGACAGTGGACAAAGTAAGATGTAAGAATAGATGATATAAAACAACATATTAATTATAGGTGTATGTGGATATTATAGTTTAACATTTTTGATATTCCCATGAAGGATCAGTGAAATGGCTTTCTCGGCTGCTTTGCTTTTTGTGTAACAATACCAATATGATTTCCAATGTGCATTTTTGAATTACAGCTCCAGCGTATTTACTTTTCAGACAGCCATGCTGCAGGTACAAGCAGTATATGAGGGCCTTATGTAATACATGACTGAGCACACCTTCTACTACACAAGCCAATGTTGTAAAGTTTGCCTTTGTCATATGAATGTAGTTTTGTGCCTTCATGAAAGTGGAGATGCCATTGTGCTCACTGTTGGTTGATCGCTTGATTGATCTGATTTGTGAGTCAGGTAGCACATGCATATTTCAAACCCCGCCCCAAACCGAGGGAGTGTAATTTATCACCTGTAATGCCCCATCACCACAGCAAAAACAAGTTTCATTGACTTTGTATTGAATGAAGTTGCTTTCCTGTTGCTTTGGTCTGCCAGCATCTGAATGATAAATGCTTAAATCTGCTGCAATTAAGAGACACCTCATACAGCGGACCTGAAGCTGTTTTCCCGAGGCATCAATAGAGAGAAGGAGTTAAGAAGTGCAGACAGACAGGGCAAACAAGGACAATGTTAAATTTCTACTCTCAGTCTTTGCGGGACAATTTTAAAACTAAATGAGGCTGATATGATATTAGTTGGTTTATATAAATGTCTTGTCAAATTTTACATCAAATATCAAAGTTTTTCACTTCAGGTCCTTCCTTGGGTTCATATGTATTTTTACATGTAAGGTGGACACTGAGCGCCCAGAGAATCGTCTCTCATGCTTTTGTCTTTAAGTGACTTCAGTATTTAATCATTCAGCTATAAGTAGCAGTGCAATTTTTTAATGATTAATATGCTGTTCCATCCATCCCTAAACCCTGCAGTCCACGTGTTGATATTTTCTTTGGTCTGGTACAAATTTTGGTTGTTGCTTTTTTACTATTTTCAATTAAATAAAAGATTAAAGTAGATTATGTGGACTGTGATGATGTGAAGGACCCCAATGTCTTGGTGATGTCATGTTTTTGGATGTTGTCCTGTTTGTAAGCAAAGTCATGGTGTAGTTTACCGTGAAGCAGAGCACAGTTTTCCATATCGTGGAAAGTTACAATTTGTTCATTCATTTATTCATTCTAAACACATTTTTCTAAAAAGCCCTGCCATCTGTGGGTAAATGTTTCAAATGTGATTCGTTAGCCGGTACTTTGGTTTTACGAAGTCAGGTGTCAATGTTAAGCGAATTATTTCAAAATGGCCTCAATTCCCTGATTAATCAACAAACAGATGAAATGATCTCTCTCTTGTTAGTGCCATTGGTAAATGGGATATTGATAAAGTGAAAGTTGATGTGTAAGGCATAATTTGGTAACCATTTTCATGTGGTTCTTCATGTAATTCGTTTGGGATAGTCACCACTATGTAGCAAGCCCAGTTGCTCTGTAGGTCAGTGTTTAGAAGTAACCAGGGTCAAGTGTCAGGGATTTTTGTAAGTTGCATTTTAAATGTAATTTGGTGGCTTAGTTGAATTATCATCATGATTGCATCAAAGGAAGAGAGCAAGTCTGAGATCAGGCTTCCAATTACATGTATTTTAACACCATAGCCTGTTAGCCATGAGAATGTGACCCAGCAAACTATGTCTATGGCTCAATTTGTTGTGTATCTTATGTCTGTTAATTCTAGGAGAGCAAAAACTACTTGGTTGTGGGTAGGAAAATATAACAATCCTGGTAAAAGGAATCCTTTAAACACTGTGCCAACCAGACCCCAACTTCCCCCTCCAGGTTTTTAACACTATTCTTTTTACAATAACACAGTCAGCTAATATTTGCATTTCCTTCCTTGTATGGAAAACAGATTGGTTGGAATGTCAGTGTATAGTTCCCCTTTTCTGTGGGATATTAACATAATTGAAAGTCTGTTCCTTATAACTCATTACAATACTTGGCAGTCCTGACACTCCAGTAGAATCAATGTAACTAAAATAAACTCACAGTAAAGACAGAGTAAGAAAGTAGAGATGACTAAAAAAAGGTTGAATTAATAGCGTGAATTCTGATGGGAAGTCAAATTGATGCCATTCTAGCCAAAGTGCTTTTTCATCTGAAACACATAAACCCTGTTACTATAGCAACTAAGCTGCCACTGACATGATCCAAAGCTGTCTCTCTGATGAACCGCTGATCTGTGGATGTATTTTCTCAGGTATTCTAACAGGTTTTTCAATGAACAATACATTCAGCAGGTTGTTATATCCACAGAGACACAAATGTTAGTCGTAGCAGTCGTGGTTGCTCATATTTAGCAGGATTTCAGTTTAAATAAACAAACAGTACTCTAAAAGTTTCAAGATAAACAAGTGCTTCCTTGTCTTTATTCACATACTAGAATAAAAGATGGAGTGAGAGCTCCTCGTTGGATATTTATGGTCTGACGATGACCAGACTGTCTGGGAGAGAAGTTTATCATCCTTGTTTTGAAGTGTGGAACAGTGGTGGAGGTGGAGCTTTAGGCCTGCTGCTGTCCTCAGCAGTTTTTCAGGCTGTTGTCCCACCACAGAGAGCTGCAGGCAGCACTGGATCCTTCCAATGTGTCAAGTTCACTGTGGAAAAACTATTAAATGAGTCACAGTGATGTAACATTTAGCTACAGTTACATTTATCAGAGTAAGAAGGATTTTACTGAAAACGATAGTAATAATCTGATTTCATGATCAGGTTGGATTCTTGATGTATTCTGTATTTCTTCACCTCAGAGGGACAAAGATAGGTGGGCACATTAAATCAGAATTTAAACTCGCTTACACTCGAATTCATCATGTCCCATTTTTGCCTGATATTTAAGATTTCAGCTGCTCAACAGTTCACAATCTCCTTTGCTGTTTTTTGTGTTTCATGACAAACCAAATGTTTTCATTTGGGACTGCAGGCGGGACAGTTTAGCACCTGGACTCTTCGACTATAAAACCTTGCTGTTGTAATTGTCTTTGCCGCAGCATATGCTCCTCCAAATTGATCAGCGTTAATGGTGCCTTGCCAGATATGTAAGCTGCTAATGCCACAAATGCACTTCTTGGCAGTCACAGATGCTGGCTTTTGTGATTGTGTGCAAATAAAATGCTGGGTGGTTATTTTCCTCTCTAAAAGGGAGGATGTTGCATCCATGATTTCCAAAAAGAATGTCAGACTTTGATTGGTCAGTTTTCCAACAGTTTGCAGTGTTAAAGGGATATTTCAGCATAGAATTAAGTTAGGGTCAAACACATCGTAACACAGAGTGAAACAGAGTTAAATGTTGCCGACTGCTTGCATCTCTAGTTATACCAACTTAAGTAATGCCCGCACGATAGCAATACACAGCGGTGTACATCTCCATGCACACACCTCAAACAAAAAGCCACTTTATAGCCACAAATAATGCTCAGAACAGCACCTAACTTCATCAACAATTAGGCCTGTCACGATAACAAATTTTGCTGGACGATAATTGTGCTACAAATTATCGCCGATAAACGATGTTATTGACACCGTTTTTTAAATTATAGATAATGATATTATATGGCATAATAATGCGAGTACACCATGTCAAAAGTGATAAACTTTAATTTCCACACGAGAACAACACTGGTTGTTTTCGTTAACTAAAATATTTCCCTTTTCTCCTACGACGAAGACGTAACGTTGACGAGCTAAACATAAGTCGGAGATGACTAAAATGTGACGAGACGAAAGTGCGTTTACGTTGATGGGACAAGACGAAAATGACGAACAGAGTTGCAAAACTCAGTCAGTTAAATGCTAAACATATAGGAGCAGCTTCAGTCCGCTCTGACAGCTCTCATCAGCCTGCTGCGCTCCTCCAACACACAGACACACACGCACGCGCGCGCGCGCACACACACGTGGTGTTTTGTGGTTGACGAAAACAAAACTGCTTTAAAGCCGAAATATTCCCACACTTGGGCTGTTGCGTTCGGTTTAGACACCAAAGCTGTCGTGTTCATTCTGTTAGCTTGCTTTTCACTCACGACGCTCACTTGCAGCACTGTATCCAAAAGTCTGTGTCTGTGTGCCTGTGCGCGCCAGCCCCCTCGTGACAAAGACACTGAATGACTGACAGGAGGGTTCACTAACTCCGTTCATTCCGCTATAGAGCCAACGCCCCCAGGTGCCGAGAAAAATGCGCAGAGTGAGACCTCTTCTCTCATCCAGCGTGTTTGGTAGCGAGAGAGGAGGAAAACAAACGCACGTCAATTATCGAGGCTGGCAAAGTTATCGACCTCGTTTTTATTTATCGAGCGATAAGGCGATTTATTGATTATCGCGACAGGCCTATCAACAGTACATATAAGGACCCAGCCATCGTACTAGCCATCAAACATATTTTTAACTTTGCCGAGTTTCTTTAGCAAAGAGACTAAACACAACTCACCTACTCTCTTCCAGCAGCCGCTTGTTTGTGGGGAAGCCGTGATGACTCAGCAGCTCATTTCCATGAAGTAATAATCATCATAATAATCATTTTGCACTGTAGACACGGTAGTTCTTCTGCTTTAGCGTCTCGGTCTGGTTGCGTTTCCATGAAGAAATAATCATAGATGTTCTTCCTTGAGCTGTGAAACCCCGCTGCACACAGTGATTGACTTGTAAGGGCTCCTTCACAAACAAGTGGCTGCTGGAAGAGAGTGGGTGAGTTGTGTTCAGTCTCTTTGCTAAAGAAACCAGGCAAAGCTAAAAAGATGTTTGATGAAAAGTGCTATGGTTGGGACCCTGTATGTACTGTTGATGAAGTTAGGTGCTGTTCTGAGCATTATTTGTGGCTATAGAGTGGCTTTTTGGTTGAGGTTTGCACATGGAGATGGAGATTGCTGTGTGTTGCTATTGTGCGGTTGTTCCTCAGTTGGTATAACTAGAGAAGCAAGCGGTCAGCAACATTCATTTCTCGAGGGGGTGTCTAACTCAGTGTTACAGTGTGTTTGACCACAACTTAAATTTACGCCGGAATATCCCTTTAAAGGGGCCCCAGATGAGCCCAAGAAGGCATTTATGGATCATGTCTACATATGGCTTCCTCTGTGTATTGTACAGGCAGAGTCCCTGGAGCTCACAGCCATCTAGATTATTTGAATAGAGGTTTTCAGTTCTTGCCAAAAAGAAAATAGACAGAGAACAAGCCTGTTAGTTATTAGGGTTTGTCGTGACGGTACAAAACTGGAAGTCCAAGTTGAACTTTTATCTGTGATCAAATCTAATACCAGCGCTGGCAAACCAGAACCCAAGCTTGTTGCAGCTTGACTGCTGTAAATTTTACCGGGTTAGAGAACGGCAAAAGTTTTAGTTTTTGGCTCTAAGTAAACAGAAAGTCTGTCTGTAAAAGAGGGGATGGTCTAATTGGGGATTAATCCATTCCATTTCTGTTTTTCCAAAGTGTATTTAGCCTCAATCAGTTCTTACCCCACACACCATCTGGATAGGTTTGCAAATTGAAACTGCGCCCACAGGGCCCAGATGGTTCCCAGAGTTAGTGGTAAAGTCACACTGGATGTATCACTGTTGAAAATTCCAACTTCTGAAAGTCAGGACAGTCATAGTCTTCAAAAATGCTGACATATGCTCCTTAAAATGCAGAATTTTTGACCTTTTCACAATGGCAGGCAGATCTATAACTAGTTCAGTAATAACAGCAGCAGAAAAAAAGTCATTTTTTTTCATAGCACAAGGTTGTAAATGCCTATATCACCCCTTTTAGTGTTTTCTTTTTTCCTTTTTTTGCATTTGATAAAAATAAAACAATTTTATAATGACACCTATGTATGATAATCTTGTCTGAACCATTTACATAGATTCTCAGTTACTTAAATAAACAGGCCTGAACATTTGAAATGCTGTGATTATGAGTACATGAAAGTTATAGTAAAGGTGTTGGCTCAAAGGTAACTTTTTCACCACCTTCCCTTTGGGCTGGGCGATATAGCCTCAAATCAATATCACGATATATTGAGCAGTTCATCTCAATAATGATAAATGGACGATAACTACCCCACAAGCTGCTCACCCCCTCCCACATTAACTTCGTCGACTTTAGCCACTACAACTTTTGAACCGTCCTCCATCTCCTCCCCTGTCTTTCCCTCTTTGTTACAGACTAGGTGGGGTGGAGTCTACCTCATCCAAAACCAACTTTATTTATTAATTTATTTTTGACAACGAAGGTACCGGCATGGGCAAAATGACATTGGTTATTGTCGTAATTCTTATCGGTTGATTTTCGGTTTATCGCCCAGCTCTATATTCACTACATTACTCAAGAGCAGCCAACAGATTTGTTTGCTTGCTGTGTCTGCAGACATTACTATTTTCAATCTGCCTTGTGAGTGCAGACAGTGGCTGATGCTGATTATTTTTTAAAGTCCCATTGACCCTGACTCGTTGGTCTTGTTGGTCTAGAATACATCCCTGGCAGATGAAAGTCCCATGCCAAACTCCCCCAGCTCCATGGTCAACCAATACCGACTCGAGGAGGATGAGGAGGAGCAGCAGCAGGATGCCAGTGCCAAAGACATCTTCATCACAGTTGACAACCCAGAGAGCCACGTCACTGCCATTGAAACCTTCATCCTGTACAGAGTCGTTACCAAGGTGAGGAAGTGCATGTCTGCATGCATCAAGCAGAGTGAATGACCATATTCAAGGCTATTCTGTAATGACTGCTGTGATGAGCTGAAATATTCATAAGTTTGTGCTTCATTTAATGATGCACAAAACATCAGTAACTGTATTATAACTCACCCTTTAAAGGTTAATCATGTTAATTAGGGGTTTTCGTTGCTTTGAACCTGAACTACTTTGGCTGAAGCAACATTTCTTTAAACTCCTGCAGCAAAAGAGGGGAACATGACAAGCCGCAGTGCTTTACTCAGCTCTTCTTGTATCAAAATAACCTGAGTACAAATCTAACTATGATGGAAATGGGGAGAAGAGGGGGTTGGAAACTTCATAAAAAGGAGGTCAGAGTTTCCCCGCTGCTGAATGTTTGTGAGGCTGGTTCAACTCTTTTAACAGATCCTGGCCAAACTTCCCCGTGCTACTATCCAGTGTGATGAAAACTCTGCTGACAGTGCAGCGGAGGCCTTTCACAGTGCATTAGGATTTATTACTGCCCCATGATCAGGATGTGAACTCTGTACATTTTTTTTATACTGTGGTGTGGAAATCTGAGGTTATCTCTTGACAAACAAAAGTGTTGAAAAGATTTATTAGCAGCTCAAGATGTAAGATAGAAATCTGTCTGTCCAGTTGAGTTAAAATTGGGTCAAAATATGTCAATACTGCACGAATAAAGGAGTTTACAGAAAAAAGAAAGCTCTTTCTCAAATTCTGGACCACTGGAGAGATAATCAAAAGATCAGAGCTGTCGTATCAACCCTTGACAAATGATACTTTGTTTAAGCAAACTTATCCCCTGAAGTATGAGCATTTTCTTAAGAGTATACTAGAAATACGAACCCTCTTTTGATCATGTAATTACAGCCACATATAAGTGTTACCAATCCCAGATACAAGAGTCAAAGCCTCTTTTTCTCTAAGTTCTCATTTGTGACTTTTCCCTCCAGACAACGCGGAGTGAGTTTGACTCAAGTGAGTATGAGGTACGCCGGCGATACCAGGACTTCCTGTGGCTCAGAGGCAGACTTGAAGAAAACCACCCGACACTCATTGTCCCTGTATGTACAACACACAACACCATCTGCTCATCACATAAGTGCTGCTGTGTCCACTTGGACCAAACCAAGCTCTTTGAATATCTCTATATAGCTTAATCTGACATACATATAGGATTGTAATTAACATGACATCTCTCATTTGTACTTAATGGTGGGAGAGAAAATCGATACAGCACAGTATCGCGATATTTTGTCTGGTGATATATCTTACCATCTCACTGACAAAGTATTGATTTTTTCAAATATAATTGTTAATATAAAGTCAAATCTATGATAATAGAAAAAATAAAATCAGTTCGTCAAGTGAGGTTGGCAGAAGTAACATCATAGAGCAGAGGAAAGTTAGTACAACAAATAAATATATAGATACAAGGGTTGCAAGATGTGCTACATGAAAATAGAGTACAGTGTAAATAAGATAAACATAAAGGAAAAACAAATGCTAAATTAGCTAAACAGTTGAAAATTTTTTATAAATCGCAATACATTGTATCGCAATACTCACTGTATCGCAAAATGTTAAAAATTGCAATAATATTGTATCATTGCCCAAGTATCGTGATAATATTGTCTCGTGGCCCAAATATCGTGATAATATTGTATTGTGGCCCAAATATCGTGATAATATTGTATTGTGGCCAAAGTATCGTGATAATATCGTATCGTGCCCCAAATATCATGATAATATCGTACTGTGGCCCAAGTATCGTGATAATATCGTATTGTGCCCCAAATATTGTGATAATATCGTACTGTGGCCCAAGTATTGTGATAATATCGTATCATGGCCCAAGTATCGTGATAATATCATATTGTGCCCCAAATATCGTGATAATATCATACCGCGGCCCAAGTATCGTGATAATATCGTACTGTGGCCCAAGTATTGTGATAATATCGTATCATGGCCCAAGTATCGTGATAATATCATATTGTGCCCCAAATATCGTGATAATATCGTACCGTGGCCCAAGTATCGTGATAATATCGTACTGTGGCCCAAGTATCATGATAATATCGTATCGTGGCCCAAGTATCGTGATAATATCATATCGTGGCCCAAGTATCGTGATAATATTGTATTGTGCGGCCACTGGTGATTCCCGCCTCTTATTAGTAGTCTATTGTAGATAAACATTTGATTTTTGTCTCAGCTATGATTTAAACCTTATGAGTCTGTACCCTGATATTGTGCTAGGGCTGTCACAATAATATCAGACTGTCCCCGCATGAATGTCTTAGAAAATTCATGATAACAATATAATCCTGTTGCTGATTCACAAAGCTTCCCAGTCTCAAGAGTTGCTCCTAATGTGAAGAACTGTTAGGAGGAGTGAGGTGGACTTTTAAGAGGCTTAAGAGTTTCTCAAGCTGGGGAGGAAATAGAGTAAAATGAAACAAATAGAGAAATGCTCTCTAAACTGCGCTCAAGTCCACAAATCAATGTGACAACACTAAACTGGAGGGTGATCGTGAAGTATTTAGCTCCTTGAAAATGCAACAGCTTCACTAGAAGTCTTGCAAAAGAAACATCAAAAGATTTACAAGGAGAGAGAAAAACAAAGTGAGGATGGATCATATACTGTATAGACATTCCAAAGGGATTGTTTCTGTTGACCTGAACCCCTTAATCTGGGGGGTTCAAGTCTAGTCTCTCTTAGATCTGCTTGTTCATGTTGCGTTTGTTCTGTCTTTTTCACATCTTGCCGTTTCGTCAGCCGCTGCCGGAGAAGTTTGTGATGAAAGGCATGGTGGAACGTTTCAACGACGATTTCATCGAGACCAGGAGGAAAGCTTTGCACCGCTTCCTCAACAAGATCTCTGAGCATCCCATCCTGTCCTTCAGCCAACACTTCAAAGTCTTCCTCACAGCACAGGTGTCTCCTTCTCTCTCACAAACTGAGACACAAACACATACATACCCATTGACAAATCCTAAAAAGCGAGATGTTAGTTATGATAGAAGTACTGTTGGTTCAATTTTGGGCCCACAGCTGAATAAAAACGTGTGTGTGTGTGTGTGACTCCATCAGGAGTTGTCGTCTCACAAGAAACAGGGTCCAGGTTTTCTGAGCCGAATGGGGGAGACGGTGAAGGCTATGGCCAACTCGGTACGAGGCGTGAGGACCCGGCCGGAGGAGTTCACTCAAATGCAGGAGTACACTGAAGACTTCAGTAACAAGATCTGCTCGGTGGATAAAGTCACTCAAAGGATCATCAAAGAGCAGAGAGGTAAAGTGAGCAAGTCAGAGACATAACAGTCCACGGTATCTGAAGACAATGGGAAAGCTTTGCTTCTGTTAACTTCAAGTAGGTTCAAGTAATTTGTGTCAAGAAGAAATGTATGAAAACAAGTTTTAAAAGGAAGACCATTCAACATAATAAGAGATACAAGACCCGATCGGATTATTGTTATAACCTTTTGTATGTATGTTGTTGGGCTGATTTAATATACAGGTATTGACAGTAACTGGCTTTACTGTTATATTGACTATGAGTTGGAAGCAGCTCTCAAGTCCAGTACAGTGTTGGAGCTTGTGACTTTTGGGTATCTCTATTTGACATCCCAAACTTTTCCTGCCTGATAAAAAAAGTTGGGCCTTTTTTATTTTAACACAACCACAGCGCAAGTTAAGAGTTAAGTAATTATCAAAAAATAACACCGGGATCAAAACAAAAGCAATCAGAGTGGTAAGGAAGCGAGAGTGAACGTAAAACAAGGATATCTGTGCTGATTGTGATTGCAAACTTAGAGGATGGAGAAGAAGAGAGGGGGTGAGTTTTTGCTGCTCCTCAATGCCAACTCCTTCTCTTTCATACGAAAGAAGATTAGAGCCACATAAAGAGAAACAAGGTAATTACAGGAAAGAGATTAAAGTCAAAATTTTGAGATCAAAGTTGAAATTTCAAGATTAAAAAAAAATCGAGATTAGGGTTAGAGATTAAAAATTATAATTTCCAGATTCAAGTTGAAATTTCAAGATTGTGAAATGCCGTGAATACTGTCAAAATTTTGAGATTAAAATCTTTAAATTTCGCTTTTTAATATCAAAATTTCGACTCTAATCTCAAATTTTTTGTTTTATTTTTTTATTTTGCCTCTTTTAAATTTCGACTTTTATCTCAAAATTTGGACTTTAATCCTGAAAAGGAAATTTTAAAAAATTTCACTCATGTAATGATTATTTTTTCTCTTCTTGTGGCCCTAATCCTCCTTCGTACTTTCGCCTCATTCCTTAGATAGTGCAGGTTTTTTTTGTTTTTGTTTTTTTGTTGTTTTTTTTAATTACTATTTGGGTTCCCACTCATCCTGGAAAACCTAACAAACCTGAAATATAGTAGACGGGTTTTGTAGTTTTGGAAAACACATGACAATAAGAGGAAATCTACTTCAACTTTCTCCTAATTCAGTATCAGAGTTCCCAATAACAAACAGCTCTGTACTTATCATTCCTCACAGGAGCTTCTTGTCCTTGAAGAGTGAGCAGGGAGCATTTCACTCTACAATCTGACTGCTTAGGAATGCAAACTAATCCCATTTCTGCACACTCAACATTTAACGTGTACAAATAAAATCAGGGGAGATTTTCTGACCCCAGAGTGAACTGTGTGTTAGTGGACAAATCCCTTTAAACGATGTCCCTTAAGTACCTAAATGAGCCGATATTTTAAATGTGGTGGATTGGTCTAAAAGCTTCATTAGCTGCTATTAGCATAATGCATGTAAATCTGTGACCATGAGCTGAGTGTATGTGCTGCATTGTTGGTATGAAGGCTCTGGATGTACTGCTGAATTCATGTAGATGTTTTTATGTCTGTTTTATCATGCAATGTAAAAAAAAAATTCCAAGTGTTTTTGCATCAAATCTATCATCAACATTTTATAAGACTTCATAGAAAAGTAAGGATCAGTCAATTTCACTCCAGCTCGCTTCACTCCTTGTTTTTTTTTTTTCTTTTGTAGAGTATCTGGATGAACTAAGACAGTACACTCCCACCTACACTCAGTGGGCGGAGTCAGAGGAGGATCTGGCCGAGCCGCTGAAAGGCGTGGCCAGCTGTGTGGAGCGGTGTAGTAAGGAAACCGAGGAGCATATCCACCATCTGTCTGAGGTCCTTCTCCCCGCCCTGCATGAGTATGTTCTCTGCGCTGAGACGGTGAAGGTGAGCAAAGACCAGACTGCTGCTACCTGAACTCCTCCCCCTCACTGGGAAAAGAGCAGACTTTTCTGACTGGTCCATATGTTTGAATTGGGCCCATTCCAGAAAGCAGATTTAATTAACTTTGAGTATATTCATTATGACTTTAAGGTATTATCTGTGGAGCAGCAAAACTGTCAAGCTCCACATCGAGTCAGTATAGAGCCTCAAATTAAAATCTTTGAGATCAAAATATTAATATGAGCCTATGAAGCTGATTTGCATTCATGGGAGACCACTGGAGATTTACAGCATCACTAAATCATTTATTATAAAGCATTTTTCCACAGTGGTTTAAAGTGCTGAATTTCTGCCTGTCAGTTTACATTTCAGTATATTTAGCTCAGGGTTTCCTTATGCAGACAAAAAAGTGTATAACTGTAAACCTCATTCACCTCAATAAGAATCACGTTGCTGACCAACACTTTGAATCCACTTTAAAGCGATGAAAATCTGTCAAAACAGCATCTAATTACTCTGTTTCTGCATGAATCAAACAGTATGGTTCCAGTCTGGGTCTGTTTAGGTTCAAACTAATATCCACACCCCGATTTTAGTCACTGAAATTATAAATTAGATCAGTAGTTCCCAACCATTTTTTCTCCAAGGCACACCAAAGGACAAGTAAAAATCTTAAGGCACACCTATTGTGCAAATTAGCCTTTATAATAAGTGTTATCACTCATATCGTGTAAAGTATCTATAAATGTGCATAGTTATTTACTGATGCCAAATTAAATGTGACAAAGCTCCATTTTCCCTCTCATGCATGTCTCTGTTTTAATGTTTTATAATTTCCGCCTGCGCAACTGCACAAACAGCAAAATTTCTTTTTTTTAAAAATGTTTTTAGGTCTAGAGTTTGCCTGTTTGTATGAAATGATACATACAAAGTACTGATACAGTAAATTTAAAAAATTTATATTTTTGTGAAGTCGTATATTGCAATAATAATGTTTGGTTATCACAAAATCCCACGGCACACCTGGACTTGCCTCACAGCACACCAATTGGGAACTGATGGATTCGATAATGTAATTTCCTCAGCTGTTAAAATTAGTTCTAACAGAAATAACAAACTTTTCTAAAAGAGCCTCATGTACTCTGTTTTCTCAGGCCGTGATGAGACGCAGAGACAACATTCAGGCTGACTACGAAGCCAAGAACGAAGCCCTTGCATCCAGAAAAGTTGACCAAGAAGCAGTAAGTGGAACACTGACAGAAAATCCAACACACACACACACACATTCACACACTCCTCTCTTTCCACGCCGCCTCCCTCTGAGCCCGTCACTGTGTTTGTCTGTCCTGCAGTCATCTTCCCCGAGATTAGGTGTAATAAAGTGAAGCAGAGAGTGGGGCCTCTCCCACAGGGCCACCCGCAGCTCATATTGGGGAGGAAAAAAAGGGCTTCCTGGGAGGATTATCTTGATACCCAGGCTTGTTGGCTGGAAATCATTCCTCAGCTCAGTGGGAATAATAGCTGTCAATATTATTTCACACTGTAAGCCCAGCAGCTAATCGCAGCGTAATGAAAATTCCCATATCCTCTTTAGATGACGACTCACTTCAAAATGTCAGGAGACAAAAGAGGGAGACGGAAAGTTAGGAAAGCAAAGGACACGGCTATTTTTAGACTCTTTACTCGAGCTTTTGCATCAGTCTGCTGCTGTGAAAGTATGTTTTTGTGTATGTAGATTCGCAGGTGTGTGTCCCCTAACCCGGCTGATATCGAAATCCATCTGTGGGGCTTTAATTAAAAAGGAGGACGGAGATTTTTTCCCCTTGGACTCGTATTGTATTCCTGTTTTAATTAGCTGTGTGTGTGTGTGTGTGTCCATATGTATGAATGGAGCTGCTGTATTTCAGCCCTCCTCTTCTAATGCCTATCAGTCAGCTTCTTCCTTAAACAGTTCTGCTCTAATGAGAATGGAAATGTCAAGCAGATGCATTTGTGACTGTTTCTAACCAGGATTTTGTCATAGAGACCACATGGCCTCAAATGGGCTAGATTACAGCTTAATGCACAAAGAGCCTGTGTAGAATTAGTACATCTATAATGATATGAGGTTTCCTAAAGACGACAGTTCGTTGAAGTAATTTTACCATTTTAAAGCATTACTCAAGTCTAACTATTGCAGACCTAATCTGTAACAAGACCATGCTTAGCTACTAGGACTAAAACAGATACTCAAACTCACTGGATACGATAAATGAGTCCAAATGAAATTGCAACCGTTTAGCCGTTGATCTTCTCAAAGATCTTGACAAGTTCTTCTATAGTTCACAGTTTGTAAAACCTGATATTGGTGTGAGAAAATGGTCGATTGTATCATTTTAATCTGAATCTTTTTTTTTTCGGCTGAGATTTTACCATTCATTAGGGCTGGAACAATTAGTCGATGTTGTTGACAAAAATCAACAATGACAAAAGTTGACAATGAATTCCAATGAGGCATCTTACTTCATTACGATCTCTGTCTCGAGTCACATATGTGCTATAGCGTCTCCGCCAAGCGGTAGGGTATTCAAACATGAAGGCACTGGCGTCCCATACAGCAGCTACAGGGAAGGAACCCCAAAACCCCAAACTTTAGCCTAGATAAAGCAAAAAAATAAATAAATAACTTGCAAGGTTTGCAAAGCAGAAAAGAAAAAAATCATAATTATCCGATTAGTCGACCAATCGTTTCAGAAGTCGGTGACTAGAATAGAATAGAATAGAATAGAATATTCCTTTATTGATCCCCCATGGTGGAAATTGTTTTTGTCACAGCAGCATCACAGACAAAGAGTGCAAAAATGCAGTTATAAAAATAAAGATCGTAATATTAAGAACTTAAATAAATGTAATAATTAAGAAAAAATGTAGAAAAAGGAAAAAGGGAGAAGAAAAATAAAACTATCTACAATATACACTACAGACTAGTCGACTATTAAAATAGTCTTTAGTTGCAGCCCTATCATTCATGTTGAAAAATGGACATAACGGTAAGTAAGCTTTGTACTGCTCGATGGCAAATCCTTTTAAAGTTTGTCTGAAGATGAAGATTTTATGCTGCATCAGTTTTTCACAACTAAATGGAGAGGCTCTGTTTCAAAGTTGTGGACCTATCCTGCTTTCACTTATTTCTGTGTCACTTTGAAAGAAAACAGCTTTTTAAAAAACTTGTATGTTCAGTATAGGTATAGACCCGAAATCCCATGAAGTCCTGATGCATTTGTGGCATCTATTAATCAACATTCGCCTCAAGCTAAAAAACATGAGCTGTTAGTAAGAAATATCAAAAGCGAGAAGACATGTAGAAATGTTCCTGACAATATCAAAATCCTCAGTTATTAAACTGAATGTCTTTTTTCTGTTAACATTTATTCCGTCTAAATTGGAATGAATGCTTCCTGCAGTAAATGAGTCAACCCTTCCAGAGGCTTTTCCTGTCTGTGCGTCAATAACTCAATTTAACCAGGAGGGGGCAGTGTTGCTCTGAGTATGCACAATGCACAGCAAAGAGGAACCCACCCAGATGACAAATTCAGAGTTTCTTTAGGATTACACCAAATATAGATAGAATAACAATACTAATGTCGTTTGTATAGCTTCATTTGATGTGATGTATAGATAGGGAAATATGTTTTCATACTTTTTAAATGCATTTTTTAAATGAAGGACCAAAGCGAATCTCCTTAAAAATACCAGAACTTAGAAAGGTCACTTTTGAAAAGAGTTCAATCTTTGTATGAAATACAGTTCTATAGTGTTACAAACAGATACATTCATTTAGGTTTACTAAATTAAAAAAATGAATATATACTGTCAGATTTTTCATCACTGCTTCAAAGTTGAAGCTTCCCTGGGTCTAATATTAAGAAGGTAATACACAGAGAGAATGCCACTCAGCCATAGCCTTTACAAGTTGGCTAAATCGATATCACTGCAGTAATAAGCAGGCCACTGAGATCCCCACAGTTTGTACATGCTGTGGATAAGCCTGTGTTAAGCATGCTGTGTTTATTGAACTTGAGTAAATGCCAGTGTCAGTTTAAATGTCAGACAGCTAATCCCCGCTCAGGCTCAGTGAATACAGCTGCATGAAAACATCTGATTATCTGCACTCTGATAAGAGGTTATATCATGTGTGCTTTGGGTTCATCACACAGTCTCAGGCTAATTTTGCTCTTGTTTATTCAGAAATACTCTTAAATTAACCTAATTACTAGACTAATTAGTCACTAAGATGACAGCTGCTTGATGCACTAGGTGTTTGCTTTGTGTGTTGAATCATTTTGTAATGATGATCTGTTCCTAATTTAATGGTTTAGAGGCTACTGACTTGTGAACCGTGACACTGTGCAGTGAAACAGAAAGTTCTCTTATTTGTCCCTCCCCAACCGCCTCCTCTTAATCAGCTGGAGAGAATCAACCAAAAATAAAAAAGTGAATTCATGCATTTAGACTCATTAAAAAAATGAGAACTGTTTTTTTTTATTTCTTCTAGGGATGTCCTGATATGATATTGATATCGGGTATCCATCCGATATCAGCAAAAAAACGGATATCGGATTGTATTGACCTGCATCTAAAATCTCCGATATCAGCCCTCCGATAAAAGCAGTCCATTCCAGACTCCGCTCCGGCACCTCTATCTAGCAGCGCTTTGATCCAGCAAACTGAACCCACAAAATCACAACAGTGTGTACTCAGGTACAAACAAAGTAACAAGGAGTAAGAGTAATGTTGGCTGTGTGGCAGTATTTTTTTTAAGTCCAAAAAGACATTGCAGCTGAGTGAAAAACTTGTCATGCACAATTTTGTGTCAATATCGAATCAATATCGGTATCTATAAATATTGAATGCTACAATGTCGGTATTGTATCAGAAGTCAAAAAGTTGTATCTGGTCACCCCTTATTTCTTTATAGTATTTGGTGTAAAAAAAAAAATAAATGGCGCTGCAACTTTTGCATAAAACTTTTCAGCCTTCAACCTAGTTTGTGCGATACATTAATATCATATCATATGAACTGCAGTTTGATTTTAGAGAATGACAGAAGTTTTTTTATGATCTGATAAGAAATTAATTCTTGAAATTTGTCTTTAAAGGGATATTCCGGTGTAAATCTAAGTTATGGTGAAACACGCCACCGCTTGCTTCTCTAGTTATACCAACTTTAGTAATGACCGCACAATAGCAATACAAAGCAGTCTGAGGAGCCATACACAAACCTCAACCAAAAAGCCACTCTATAGCCACAAATAATGCCCAGAACAGCACCTAACTTCATCAACAGTACATATAGGGTCCCAGCCATAGTACTAGCCACCAAACATCTTTTTAGCTTTGCCTGGTTTCTTTAGCAAAGAGACTAAACACAACTCACCTACTCTCTTCCAGCAGCCGCTTGTTTGTGGGGGGAGTCTATCACCGAACGCAGCAGAGTTTCGAAGCTCAGGAACTAAAACTTATAATTATTAATTCATGGAAATGCAATCAGACCAAGTTTGTGAAGAACAGAAGAACTACTGAGTTTGCAAGGCACATACAAGATACACAAGAACACTGATTTCATTTCCATGAAGTAACTAGAGAAGCAAGCATTCTGTGTTTTGGTGTGTTTGACCATAACTTAAATTTATGCCGGAACAGCCCTTGAAATTATGTCACCAATATATTTACTGTTTTAATACGTCTGTTCCTGTGCGATGTTGTATCAGTGTTAAAACTAAGAGGCTTCATGTCAATCTCATGCTATTTATTTTGAAGTAAGTGGTGTTTGATTTGAGGAAAAGTGGATTACTTTGTTATGATTAGAATCGTTTGTTATCTCTGAGCCAAATGTTGTGCTCTCCTCCTTTTTTCTGCTGACTGCAGCGAATTTTACTCATGAATGGGATAATCCGAGGAATCATTTTTTGGCTGCCTGCTGGTCCGCACTCACAAAATAACTTCATCATGGTGGCCCGCTTTCTCATTGATCAAGCTGTTCCACGACACTCAAAAACCATTTTAATATTTCGCCAAGAGGAGGAAATCAAGTAACAGGTTTTGAAAAGGTTAAGTGAGGAGGCCTTGATCTTTAAAAAGAAGCTGAGTGGACTTGAAAGCAGGACTAAATTCACCTGTCTACACTCTGTGCCACAGATGGGTTTTTGGATGTATTCATGCTGTGCCTTGCTGCAGCTGTGAGGGGTCACGACAGTGATGTTAGAGGGTCCTGGCGTCTGCAGAAACAAGATTTTTAGCCTGTGTGAAGTTGCATGTTTGCTTTGTTGTATCTCAAGTATGATTCAAGTTACATTTCTCTGTTCCTACAAATATTATTCTATGAAGTTTTTTGCACACCAGTTATAAAAAAGAGATACTAGAAAACTTACTTTAGTATCAAGATTCAGGTTTTAAAAACCCTTAGTGTCAATTTGAACTGCTGTCTCAACTTCCCATAACAAGGAGAACACAGTAATACAGTCACTTCACTAAACAGTCTCATTAGCTGTATAATACTTAGAGGAGGGATAAGGTCCATCATCTCTTTATGTAAGAGTGTTGTTATTTCGTTATGTCAGCCTTCATCTACTCGTTTACTTCATTGCATTGTTAATCTTAATTCACATTAAGCTTTCAAAATTTTTTGCTGATGTCGGCCTTTGCTCTGAAAGCTTTGCTCAGTATTACAAATAAACCAAGACAAGGGAGCGAGAGCAAATGTTGAATATTTTATGCCTGTGTGGACCAGTGCCACACACGACAGCATCTGGAGCCAAAGAGTTTATCTCTGTTTTAGAGAGGCGCTTTTACAAACCATTTACATTTTAGCAAGAACCCCCCACCCCCCCAAAAAAGATAAAATAACATAAAAATAAAATAAAATAAAATAGATTGTTAAATTTATTAAATCACTTGATTCATTTGATTAAACACAATATCCAGATAGTTTTTTTTTCTCCAATTTTCCCATTAAGTTAACAAACACAGACTCAAGTCACATTGTCTTCTTGCCACCAAAGCTTGACACAACTCCTCCACACTTGTAGTTGAACTACCAACACCTTACAAACACTTTAATGCAGTGATTCTCTAAGTATGAGGAATGGAGACGTGACAGGTGGGACACAACAAACGAAAGGACATTTTCAATTTCATGCCTATTCTCTTAAAGGGATACTCCGGCGTAAAATTAAAATCTAGTTATACCAACTTTAGTAACAACCACACGATAGCAGTACACAGTGGTTTATGGCTCCACTCGAGGAAGTGCAGCGGAGTTTAGCAGCTCAAGGAAGAACATTTATGATTATTACTTCAGAAGAACTAGCGCATCTGCAGTGCAAAATGATTATAATGATGATTATTACTTCATGGAAATGATCCGCTGCACTTGGTGATTGACTTGTCAGGGCTTCCCCACAAATAGGTGGCTGCTGGAGGAGAGTGGGTGAGTTGTGTTTAGTCTCTTTGCTAAAGAAACCAGGCAAAGCTAAAAAGATGTTAGATGGCTAGTACTATGGCATTGTTTGTGACTATAAAGTGGCTTTTTGGTTTAGCTCTATGCGTGGAGAGGTAAACCATTGTGTATTGCTATCGTGCGGTTGTTACTGAAGTTGGTTTAACTAAAGAAGCAAACAGTCAGCAACATTCATTTCTCGAAACGGTGTCTAACTCGGTGTTTCAGTGTGTTTGACCCGAACTTAATTTTACTCCGAAATATTCCTGATCATTCACAGTAAACAGAACACCCACACACAAAATAATCATAAATAGCCTACATGTAGCTGAAATTCAAAGAACATTTAAATTATTAGACAGCGTTAGATAGGCGACTGGAGAAAAATGTAACAGTGATTTATTATAAACATGATTTTACTTGTTCCTTGTTAGTTTAATCAATTTGACAGGACTTAATTTGTCAGGACTTTTGTTGGGGCAACCGGCGAAAGTGGAGCTTGAAAATCCCCCCTTGTTCAAAGTGGCGAATAACCATAAAAGTTTGAGAAGCACTGCTTTAATGTGTCTTTTTTTTTTTTTTTTACTTGGAGGACAACATTTGCTTTCCTCTGATAATCACAACCATAAAAGACTTATGAGTCATGCTAGTTTTGTTAAATAAAAAATATATATACTGTATATAATGCAGTGATGTTTCTTTCACAGAAACTTATTCAGTGTCTTGTGTGTTTGACTTGCAGCTACAGGAGGAGGTGGATGGTCTGGCAGACAGGGTGGAACAGGCCAACAATGCTTTGAAGGGAGACTGGTCCCGCTGGCAGGACAACATGAGAACTGACCTCAAATCAGCATTTATATGCACTGCCGAGAAGAACGTGGAGTACTACGAGAAGGTGAGCTCAAAGCCACACAGATGGAGTGAAAGTGTTGGACCACAGAGTGTGGATCTTATCTTTCTCTGCTTTGCGGGGTAGTGCTCTCTAAAGAAGTTTATCTTACAGCAGTGTGAAACTCTGCAGAGGGAAATGTCGGCATCGGCTGTTTTCTTCTGCTTCATGTAAATCACTTGGTTAGAAACTGACCCTGTGGCAGCATTTACAAGCATTGACACTAAGAATCAATCTTCTTGCTGATGTTAGAGTCTGCTTTTATGGAGGCATTAAATCCACACTGTTTCATTGCAGGTTAAAAACTCCTGATAGGAGGAGAAACATAGCTGCAGACTTTAAACATGGTACTATTGTGAACACGTGGATATGGTTTTAGCAGACTTGGTCTAAAGCCAGTGTTTAACTGTTTTTGTTTTTGTAAAGATGGTCACTTTTCCTGAGAGGTAGACTAACTAACCTGACTCGACAGGAAGATATAAAAGATGGTCAGTCCGTGAACAATCATTGGTTGCCTTCATTCTCGACCTCTGTTTTGTCAGACTTACTTTTACTGACTTGGACACTGTGAACACCTGAGCAGGGTAATGCAGTCTAATACAACACAAAGGTACTACCAACAATTCGATTTTTAGAAAGCTTCTGAATGTTTGTTCTTTGTCGACTCGATCAGACAGGTGAATATTGTTCTGTGTCTTTTTAGCTTTGCCTGATTTCTTTAGCAAAGAGACTAAACACAACTCACCCAACTCTCCACCAGCAGCCATTTATTTGTGGGGAGAGCTCAGGCGAGTCCATCACTGAGTGCAGCGGATCATTTCCATAAAGTATTAATCATCATAATAATCATTTTGCACTGCAGACGCAGTAGGTCTTCTGCCTTAGCGTCTTGGTCTGCTTGCTTCTCTAGTAACTTCATGGAGATGCAATAAGAGTTCTTGTGGATCTTGTATGTGCACTGCAGACGCGGTAGTTCTTCAGTTCTTCACAAACTTGGTCTGATTGCATTTCCATGAAGAAATTATCACAAATCTTTTTCCTTGAGCTGCGTCACCCCGCAGCAGTCCATAATGGACTGGCCTGAGGTCTCCCTACAGACAAGCGGCTGCTGGAATAGAGTAGGTGAGTTGTGTTTCGTCTCTTTGCTAAAGAAATTAGGCAAAGTTAAAAAGATGTTTGGTTGCTGGTACTATGGCAAGGACCCTATAAGTACTGTTGATGAAGTTAGGTGCTGTTCTGAGCATTATTTGTGGCTATAGAGTGGCTTTTTGGTTGAGGTTTGCACATGGAGACGCAGACCGCCGTGTGTTGCTATTGTGCGGTCGTTACTAAAGTTGATATAACTAGAGCAACATTCATCTCTCGAGGGGGTGTCTAACTCAGTGTACGGGGTGTTTGACCCTAACTTAATTTTATGCCGTAATATCCCTTTAATAACACAATACACATCGGTGAATTGTGATGCTTTCACTGTACTGAGATTATTAGATATCAAATTTGAAGATTTTCACTTTTTCTGAACTAAGATCTATCTTCATGCAAAGAATAGTTAAAAACCAGCACATGCTAAATAATAAGGACTGAAAACGCAGCTGTTTTCATGTCTTGAAGAATCTCTCTGGAGGGGATTAAAGCTCAGAGAAGAAGATGAAGATATTGGATAAGCAGCATAGCAGAGTGAGGCAGACACATATGAAAAACAAGACAGAGAATAGGAGAGTGAGCAGTTGCAGTGTAGGAGAAACAATCCTATATCCAGATTAACGAGCGGGCTGAGCAGCGGAAGCAGCAGGGAATTAAATCGTGAAGGAGAACAATGAAGCTAGTTGGGAGACATAACATCACAGCAGGAGCAGCACAAGACGATGAAGCTGTTAGGGTAGTAATTGTTAAGTCTTTTATAGGTTTTATTCCTCACATGAGACTCTAAGCATGCAGTTTGGAGTGAGATGTGATTCCAGTTTTACTTTGGATGTATTTGATTCTTAGACTGAATCTCTGCCAGCAGAGGGTAGCCGCACTACAGATTTATTTCCTCTCAACCAACTGGCATTTAGGAGAGCTCCTATAAGCTCCAGTGAAAGCTGTTGGTTCTTGAACAGTTCATGGTCTGTTTAAATCTGATTATTTCCACAAATGCTCTTCAGCCAAATGTAGATTAGCCGGCTACTGGAACTTGATAATAATAGGATACAGATAATGTGTTATAGTGGGAGCATGACGTGCAACAGAGATTTTTGGCCAGAATCAAACTTTCATTTAAGCTTTTGATTAGTTAAATGCCTCATTTGTTTTTCCGACAGCCTAATCAGACACCTCTAATTATGAGAGATAATCATCACCAAATTTTCAAAATAAACCAAGTTTTATACCTACAACTAAAGCAAGGAACATTTTACCTTAAATGCTATCTATTAGGGGTTGGAATCACCAGTGGCCCCATGATACGATATTATCACGATACTTGGGCCAGATATTATCGCGTTTTTTATCATTTCGCACTACATTAAGTATTGTGATACAATATTTTGCGATTTATACAAATTTTTCAAACGTTTAACTAATTAAGCATTTGGCTTTCCATTATGTTTAGCTTATTTACGCTGTATTTTATTTTCATGTAGCACATCTTGCAAACCTTATTGTTGTAATAACTTTCTCCTGCTCTGTAATGTCACCTCTGCCAACCTCACTGGACAAACATTTGGTTTTATTTTTCCATTATCATAGATTTGACTTTATATTAACAATTAATTTGAAAAAGCCATTACTTGGTAAATGAGACAATACGATATATCACCATACAAAATATCGCGATACTGTGCTGTATCCATTTTTTCATCCACCCCAACTATCTATATGAATTATTATACTTCCACTTTGCCTCTTCAGAATTAAATAATATACAAGATATGAGAATATCAAACCAGACTGTTTCCCCTTTAAATTTAAGAGGGAGGGGGAGGTAATACAAGAGGTGACACATTGAACTCCATCATGTTTACTTTTCATGTCTATTAATATCACTAAATCATTTCTAGTTTGTAATAGAGGCTGTTTGTATCTTGTTAAGCAAAATACAATTTTGTTTTATCAAACGGCCGTGTTAAGAACTTGATTGTAAAGGTCAGTACCTACATTTAATAACCACAGTCAGCTAGCTGTTTCTCAACAGCAGAGCGTCAGTGAAGGGATTCAGAGTCTTGCAGACTAACTGTAATCATATCAGCTGGCAATGAGAAATCTGGTTCATTCAAAACTAGTTTGTCCATGGTGGGAAAACCAATAAAAGAGACAAAAACTGTAGAGACAGGCAGTAGAGGTTGAAGACTGAAAAATAAACGGAAGATGAGTTTGTGAAATTGTGGTGTTTGAGGACTGGATGTCACATACGCGGAAACTCAAAGCAATTAAGCAATTTCAGATGCAGAGCTGATTCCTGCAGACCTGTTCCCCTGTGTGGTTTTGTTCACTTTAATGGGATTATTAACAGTAAGAGGCAGGAGGTTTATCGATTTCAGTACCATCTCATTCTGCCACAACTTGGATGTTGCAATACCATCATAACCGGGATGAACACAAAAGTTTGGTTTTAGTGCACACATGAGGGAGATTTACTCCCGCATCACCTGCAGGGTTTGAAATTAGCATCTACCACCCACTGAATGCTCTGCCTGGTGACTTTGCCCAACTTACCAAACCACAGAGCCATATCAGAGAAGCATGACAGGGTGATTTGTGACACAGAACTACATATACTGCTTTGACACTTCTGGGCTCAATAACCAAAAGCACTGCCAGTGTTTGCAAAGAAAGATAGTTGTAGTTGAGCGATCAGGTGAACTTGTGCCGTCTCTAGAAATGTGAGTGTGCTTGTTTGCCGTGCATCTTTTCCCATCAGCCTCCTGGAGTTTCAACATTGGGGCTGTTTGCCGGAATGACTCGACATGTTTTGACTTGAGCCCAGCACAGCATGAATCTGAAACCGAAAGTCATGTTTGTAATTTTTGCATCATTACGCATAACTGTGCAAAGGAAAATGTGTCAAAACTCCAAGGATCTACAGTTTTTAAAACATTCCTGCAAGAATCTAGATCATGTATGGAGATTTATCGATATGCTCTATTTTGAGACCATTACTGAGTGGAGTTCCCCTGATTCAAGTGTGTTGCATGTTAGATAAAAATCCAAATATGTCTTGAAATGAATGGATATTACCAGATCTCTTTAAAAAAGAGTGGCATTTAATACAACATCAGTGATATTGTTAAAATGCTTTAACTCCATATTCTGATAATATCAAAGTAGTTCCATCCCAGAGATCAGATATGACATTTAACAATGCCACGGTTGAACAATACTCATTACAGATTTCATCAAAAATGGGTCATAAAGTATCTGGGTGAAAACCTCCCTGCTCCCCTGGGGTCTGTGCTGCAGTGAGATGAGTCTAGACCAAGTTTTTTTCCCAATGGCTACACCAGTGAAATAATAGCAGACTGACTGCACAGAGCCTCCTCTGCCTGAGGCTTGGGTGAAATTCACCTGGTGTGCATGAGAAACAAGAGGGGCATGTCAGGTCACAAATAAATTTACTAAAAACACTAAGATGTTGAAATAAAGAAATGAGAAATGTGAAAAGTAGGGGTGGGAGAAAAATCGATAGAGCATAGTATTGCGATATTTTTCTTGTGATATATTGCATCGTCTCGTTGACCAAGTATCGATTTTTTGAATTAATTGCTAATACGAAGTGAAATCTATGATAATGGAAAGATGAAATCAACTGTTTGTCCAGTGAAGTTGGCAGAGGTGAAATCATAGAGCAGGAGAAAGTTAGTACAAAATATATATATGTATAAGGTTTGCAAGATGTGCTACACGAAAATAAATAAAAGCGTAAATAAGACAAAAATTAAGGAAAACCACATGCTAAATTAGCTGAACAGTTGAAAAAATTGTATTAATCGCAATACATTGTATCGCAATACTCACTATATCGCAAAATATTAGAAATTGCAATAATATCGCATGATGGCCCAAGTATCGTTATAATATTGTATCATGGCCCAAGTATCGTGATAATATCGTATTGTAGCCCAAGTATTGTGATAATATGGTATCATGGCCCAAAGTATCGTGATAATAACATATTGTAGCCCAAGTATCGTGATAATATGGTAACATGGCCCAAAGTATCGTGATAATAACATATTGTGGCCCAAGTATCGTGATAATATCGTATCATGGTCCAAGTATCGTGATAATATCGTATTGTGGGGCCACTGGTGATTCCCGCCTCTTATTATTAGTCTATTGTAGATAAAACTTTGACTATTGTTTCAGCTGTGATTTAAACCTTATGAGTCTGTACCCTGATATTGTGCTAGGGCTGTCACAATAATATCAGATCGTCACCTCATGAAAGTCTTAGAAAATTCATGATAACAATATAATCCTGTTGCTGATTCACAAAGCTTCCCACAGTTGAAAAAAAATATAAATCGCAATATATAGTATCACAATACTCACCATATAGCGAAAATGTTAAAAATCGCAATTATATCGTATTGTGGCCCAAGTATCATGATAATATCGTATCCTGGGGGCACTGGTGATTCCCACCTTTAGAGAAAAGCAGCATTAACTCCGAGAATATCTTAGAATGCTCGAAACTGATTGCTCACCAATCCTCATTTTCCCATTGCTTTAACTTTCGTGAGTAAAAAAGTTGTCATAAATCACAATGGCTGCAGGTAAGGAATGTTTGTTATTTAAAAAAAAAAAAAAAAGTCACATTAAGAAATGGCTCTCCTCTGCAGCCGGCTCTGTGCTCTCCTCTGTGCTCAGCTGGTGTCTGTGTTTATTTTTAAGCGAGATCAGATTCTGATAAGACCGACCCTGACACTGTTATAACACCCGAAAGCAAAAAATGTGCGTAAATAGAAGTCACAATTCATTAGGGTTCATAAGTTTCCTGATCAAATAACTTCAGGTTAGAGGGAGATATAATCCAGCATTGACTCCTAAGGGTCAAACAAATATACTTGGTACCCTAACAGGAAAGCGTTAAAAAAAAGTTATTTTGGCACCCTTCCCAACCTTTGATGATAAAATTGCAAATAATTGCTTTCCATATTGAACCGGACCAAACCACTCGGTGGAACTGCAGCAGAGGGGTCTTGTGGTTTGTTATTGAGCCATTACAATCCCCACTAGACTTTGGACATCATCAGCGCCAATAAAGAAGCATGTTTATTTCCCAGTTTAATATGGCAGATGTTGACTGGCGCTGCATTTTGAGGCTGACCCAAACCTAATCCAGCACTAGGGAAATGAACTTAACCAGACCCTGATGCTTTTGCAGCTGAATGGCAGCAAAATCCTTGAATGGTTTCCGAATCTAACAAACACCAACATATGGTTTTACATAACCTATATAACTGATACATGGGTGAAACTTTCTGTTTATCTTTGATAATAACATTTAAGATGAGTAATTTTTCAAATAGATGTGTAAAAAGGCAAAATACAGATTAATTGGTGTTGCCACTAAGAATTTCTTTCAGTCATGCTTCACAGTTTTGGTGATAAATAAACAGAGATATTAGTATTCAGGCAATTTTATTTCTTAGCAGTGTCTATAATGATCGCAAGGTTTTTGTGTGCACATGCGTGTGTGTGTGTGTGTGTATGCGTCCTTGGCGTAATTGGGTTTTCTTTCCAGTGTCTCTCTCTGCAGGGGCAGGTCATCTCTCCTGGCCTCTCCCTGCAGCAGCCCTGATGACAACACTCATCACCCAGCACACTGGTCCGCGGCACGCAAATGCAATACAAAGACTGAGTACCACCATGTACTTGTCTGAGCGTGCACTCAAAATTGGTGACTGTAGAAGAACCCAGAGAGGGTTTGGCTTCCTAATGTGAAAGCCTTTCCAACCCAGAAAGTAAAATTATTAAAAAAAAAAAACCCTGAACTTTCAAGCAGGTGTTGTGCTTGATCTATGCATATTGCCCTGGACACACGTAACAGAGAAATTAGGCCATCTTTTGCATATTTATGAGTTGCACCCCTCATAAATTTAGCTCTTACCTTTGCACGTTGCAGAAATGAAATATTAATCAGTCTAAAAGGTTCCTAATTTGTGCACTGAGAAGTTTTAAAAAGAACACTGTGTTTTAATATTGCAAAGAGCATTTCCTTTATTTGCAAACATAATGACTTAATGAAAATATACTGTGTTAAGCTCTTTACCAAAACTTTGCAGGGAACTGTCGTTTTGAGACATTTGTATAATGTATTTTGTTAAAACAGGCCTAAGGAGATGCTTCGTAAGAGACTGGTCTGTTTCATCCATTTCAAAACACTCCTCGCTGAAACTTAAAAGGGATATTCTGGAGTAAAAATAAGTTGGGGTCAAACACACCGCAACACCGAGTTAGACACCCCCTCGAGAGATGAATGTTGCCAACTGCTTGCTTCTCTAGTTATACCAACTTTAGTAATGACTGCGCGATAGCAATACACAGCGGTCTATCATCATAAATGTTCTTCCTTGAGCTGCGTAACTCCGCTGCACTTGGTGATCGACTCGTCGGGGCTCCCCCCAAAAATCAAGTTGCTGCTGGAGGAGAGTGGGTGAGTTGTGTTTAGTCTCTTTGAGACTAGAAATAAGGCAAAGCTAGAAAGATGTTTGATGGCTAGTACTTTGGCTGGAACCCTATATGTACTGTTGATGAAGTTAGGTGCTGTTCTGAGCATTATTTGTGGCTATAGAGTGGCGTTTTGGTTGAGGTTTGCCCGTGGATCCATAGACCGCTGTGTATTGCTATTGTGCGGTTTTTAAGGTGTTTTTTTTTTTTTTTGTTGGTAATTTTACAACGAAATGTCAGTTTAAGTTTTGTGTTACCTGTCCTTTAAACATGTAGCTTACAGTTTATGGGCCTTCCCTTTTGTAACCTGAAACACTGCAGTCAAAGTTACAGACAGCAGAGGCTCGTTCTGATTTTGTTCCAAATGTTCTCAACTTTTAATCAACTTTATTTAATTTAATTAAACCAATTTTTGTTTTTTGTATTCTAGGAATAATAATAATATTCATCTGCTCACTTGTGGCTTTGGACTCAGTCTCAAATTTGATTGTAGATTTCAGGGATCTAAAGAAAAAGATGAAAACATGAAAGCTTGAGTAAACACATGGTGTGGCTGCATCATTTAGAGAGTCTGCAAAATTTCCACTTATCAGCTACAGACTCAAAAGTTAATTAGTTACCTTGTTAATAAGGTGGTTTCACACCTTGTTTGTGTGTTTGTTTGTTTGTTTGTTTGTTTGTGTGTGTGTGGTAGCTGAATGGAGTTGCTAATTATCTAGGACTTAAAAAGCTAACAGAGTTTTTAGTGCTGAGTCTGTACTCACTTGCTCATTAACATCTCAAACTAGATTGCTTAAAAGAATTAGTCTCATAGCTACAGCCAGTCATTTTCTCCTAATAGATAAACCAAAAATATTCCAGCTCTCGTGAAGGGTTGCCCTGCTAGTAAGTGCTAAACAAAAATAGATAAAATCGTGTTTCTCTTTCCAAAATACCAGGGTGCAGAAATCCTGGGAACAATGAAGAGCTCAGTGCGCTCTTAAGACTTCAAATCTGGAGAAGTAAATAGTCACTTGTGTCTAATAAAGCTAGGAATAGTCCTGGTTTGAGTAGATAATGCTTTTTCTCTGATGCTCTAAAGGGTGGTTGAACTCACCCTGACCAGCTTGTAATCGTTTGTTGCGAAGCGTTGTTACTGTGTTGTTATTTGTTCCTGTGTGTATCTCTTGTGTGAAGCATGTGGTAAATTTAGCCCTGGATAATTCTCCGCTGACAGCCTCTTGGAAACCAGCCTTTTGTCTCTCAGAGTCTATTGTCGCTCTTCATGTTTCTGCCAACAAGCCCAGACTGCTTATCAATCCAGCATTTAAAGAAACAAGTACAGAGTCCATATTGATTGCAGATAAAACCCATCACCTACTTGATTTTACCTTTTTTTTTTTTTTTTTTACGGCATCAGAGCTGAACTACAAATGAGACAACATCTTGTCTGAAGGATAGGTGAAGCAAACAGATCAATAGTGCCTCGCGATGCGTGCGATGAGTGTTGTATGGCTTTGGAATTATTGAATGTCTATACTGCTGAGTCACTAAATTTACTTCACACAGCTCGGCCCCTCACTCGTCTTGTTCGTAGTGGGGTCTCAACATTTGTTACGCAGCAGGAATCCGTCCAAGAGATCTGCTGGGTCTGTAAGAAAAGGTTGGAAGTTTTTTTTTTTTTTTTTTTTTACAACAATTCCTACACAAGCGATAACTTTCTAACACTCACAGGAAAGTTATGTTCTTCCCCTGCTTTGACCTCAACTTTATTCCCCGCTCCTAAAATTTCAGGTCAGGTGGAGCATGTCTTGTCTAGCACCTGAACTTGTTTGACACACCGTAAAGCAAACTTTCACTGGGTTGGGCTACACTGTCAATACTTATTTCAGTTTGCAGGTTCAATACTTTATCTCCTCTCAGCTGGAGTACACTGAAGGGCTTCAAAATCACCTGCACGTGTAATACAAATATCAACAACACTCTGTTTAGACAGTTTGGTCCTAAACTCAATTTCATGCTCTTTGCCCCAAATACTTAAAGCACAGAGGGATACCTTTCAGTGTAAATGGGACTGAAAATAACATCCTGACCCCCCACTTTGTGACTCAAGACTTAGAGGGTGCTCAGTGACATAGTATGGAGAAGTTAAGAGACATTGAAGTGATGCAAATAGTCATTTTATGTGCAGTAGCACCAATCCAATCTCACAGCACAGCTGTTTCATACTCTACTGAACAGTGTCATTGCAGGTAATACACCATTACTGCAAAAACGTGCTTGTCCGTACCTTGTTTCACCAGGTGGGAACTCAAATGTGGTGATATAGTTCCTTCTTACTCAGCTGTCAATCCATCATTGCTCACTTTCAGAGATTCATCTGTTAGCTTCCTACAGACTGAGACGTTGACAGATGAATCTTCAGTGGATGTTTTATCTGAGAGTTATGTCGACTCTGAATTTACCTTGATTTCAAGTCCCACTCAGATCATTTTTTACTTTTCTTTTTACTTCTTTAAGGGTTCTCTCAGTGGTCTTTAAATTGTGATTATGAAGTTTTTAGCCAAAATGTTATCTGTGTTATCTGTGTCATTTTCAAGGGCTTTTCTTCTGCAGAGCATCCAGTAGCTCATTAGCAATTCGCTTCTGAGTCGTGGGCGGAGACGGCGCTGCTCTCATCCCTCCTCTTCCTGCTAGCTTGCAGCCTAACATTGCTGGTGTAGTAGAAGTGGCAGGTGACATAGGAGCTATTCAGCTCTCGGACACTAATGTCTTTGGGGGCATGATGAAAATTAATATCATAGTTAGCTTTGTTACGAGCATTGCAATCCGCTAGCGCACACACTTGTTCCGCGATTGTCCTCTCTGTTTCTCCAAGTCTGGTCTGCATAGCGGGGCTTCAGGGGCGGGGCTTGGAATTGTGGCGTACGAAATCCCACTGTGTCTGAGCCTGTCGTTTGGGTCTGCCAGAGATTCACAGCGAATCTCTGAATGCAGAAATACTCAGAAATGCAATTTTTGCACTTATTTTTCTGATGATATGTCCTGCGGCATCAGAAAAATGCCATATGAACATGTAGACAACAAGAAAAACTGAGTTTTCATTGAAGTGGGTCTTTAACCACTTTGTAAAAAAAGAGACTGATCTCACCGATGTAGCATTGACTATGTTATAAAGAAAGAAGAAATACAAACCCAACCATCAGCTTTGGTCCTCTCGGCCTGAGCATATCTTTGGTGTGACTATGTATAAATCAGGTCATTGCTAAAATAAAGCATGCCTGCTCGGCAAAGCTCTTGTTGCAATGCAGAATATTCTCTTGAAGCATAAAATCCGTCCATGGAGGATGATTTTATACCTCGCCCAAAGCAGGGTTAAACCAGATTAACACATTAAATAGACTTTTCTTTGATGGCAGGCTGGCTATCTCTAATGAGAGAAGCCTTTACTGTGGTATCATTCTATTAGAAAAAAAAAGGGAAGAAAAAAAAAAAAGGGAACCATTATGCCCCGGATTTCATCAGAATATCACTTTAGAGAGTTCAAGTTTCTAGCTCTATTTGGCCAAGATTTAGCTCTGCTGGTTGGTGAGATGATTTTAATATTGCATATTCAGTGATTTCAATCCCATCCAGAGCACATGTGGTGTGTGATTTTTCCACCCCCTTTCCCCAGTATTAATTACGGCCCCAAATACCTGCTGGTTTTTGACACACTTGTCAGTCCTTTGAGAATTCATTCCATCTGAATAATACCTAGTGTTTCCAAATTTATTCAGATGTTTTGCATATAAAGTGCTGCGAATCCTGTTGTTTATTTTTATTCACCCAGACATGGTTTGAGCAGTTTAAGGGATTTGGAAAGAATATTTCAGATATTTGTAATAACCAGATGGATGCACTTCACCCTTAAAGCGTGACCCTCTTCAGAATCTCAACCCCCCAACATATGTCGAGTTGAAAAACAAACCCTTCAGAGCCAGATGTAAATAAAACCGCCCCTCTCTGAATGTCTAATTGTAAACCTGAACATTAACCTGTTTGTTGTGCAAAAAAAATACATTTGACGAATAAACCAAAAAACAGAACTGATGATATTGATGCAGAAATGTATTTGTGGTTGCTGAGGTCCATATAAGGTCACACCAGGATGTGTGTCGGGATTTGGGTGGAGCTCCAGCCTGGCAAGGGTACTAACAGAATGGCTAAGGTGTAGCGCAAGAGTGCTTGTTAGGACGGTTGTAAACATCAATGTGAGAACACAGCTTGGATGCCAACTTCACTGTTAGAGCACATCCAACCACGCCGATAATTCATTTGATTTTAAAGACATGATAATTTATGATAGACTTGACACAACCGAATATCGTCAAGGCGATCAGAGGCAACATAAGCTACGTGTTACTGTGAGGAGACTAAACTGACTGCTTTTGTGAACTTAAGCTTTACACTACTGAAGAAGAAGATATGTCAATAAAACAGTTTTTTGTTACGCTTTAATTACAATTCCAACAATAACACAACGCCTGAGATACTCAAGTGAGAGCTGCACGGTGTGAACACCAGAGACTCTTCAGAAGTTTACAGTCATTTATGCACAACCCAGATTTTGTACAAGTCTGGACACTGTAAAACAGAATCTGATGGCTTTCAAATCAAAGGCTTTATTTAATCGAATACTGGATGTGGGTTGTCCCAAGGTATTTTTTAGTGTAGCCCCTTAATACTGGTCCCACTACTTAACAGCTGTGCTCATAGAGGAGATTGCCCCCATAAAACAGATGAAATTGTCACAGGAATAGTCCTCCATATATATCTTAAATAATTCTCATACCCTCAGGCAGCACTGCATAAAATGTAGACACAACTCTGATGTGGAAATCACTTGTTTCAAACTGGCTGGCCTGCAGCCCGGTGAAAACTTTTGGTGCATCATGACACAAAAATTACAACAAAGGAGACAGTGCAGTTTTTCTGTCTGTGTGGCTGAAATCCTCTTTGGCGAGAATGGGGTAGAATTGTTCTTTATATCCCCAGAAACTGGTTTCCTCGATTCGCAGATATCCCCAGAAAAGTCTTGTCAAAAGAAGATGTGATGCGAAGGTGCCCTTGACCAAACTTTCTTGTGATTTGTGGCTGGCATCAAGTGAAAGGAAAACTAATTTTCCATCAAACAAAAACACCTTTCAGTTCCAGTAATTAAAACATTGTCGTTCTTTGTCTCATTTTCAATTAAACACCGGTTTCAAATGATTTGCAGACCATAAAATTACATTTTTGCTACACAGGGCTACAACTGTCTTTAAAGCGGTCATAGAGTGTCATAGAGTCAAGGGGGGAGAAATGTAAGGTGGAGGTGATGTGTTATGTAATCTAAAAAAAATGGTAACTGAGTTTTAGTTGTTTCACCAGCTCATTCAGTCTGCATAACAGAGCTAAGAGCTTGATCTGCAGCAGTGCCTCTCATATATGAAGTCTGAAAGTTAACAGGAGTAAAGTTAGGCTTTCTGTTAACTCACTGGCTCAGTGACAACACTGCACTTTAGATTTCCACCCCTGAAAGCATTAAGAAACCTGCCTCTATTGGAGAAAATTTCATTTTTGAGAAAGCGTTTCCGTTACCTTGACCCAAAGTGTCAGAAACTGATTCATAACAACAATTTAAATTCAACGATTTTGACCTTCGTGGATTTTAAAATTGAGATGATGGCTGTGAAATCAGTTCTATTCATTTCTGAGGCGCCTGATTGTAATTGTGTATTTGGACTGGGACTCTTCCTGCCATCCACATAAAGCTCAAGATTCCAACTGATAAAAACAACAAATTGGTTTCTTCACAATGACTCGCTTGGTTGTATGCTCCAGACATTCAGTAACACACAGTAAGCAAACAATAGCTTCTTAGCGGGGTATCTAGAAATACGAGATCCCTCTTTGCTGTGTGTTGATGTTGTTATTCAGGTGCAGATGTGGGTAAGTGCAGCCATGGGGCCTGTGAATGATTTATTGGAGTGGAGCTCAGAGAGACGGCCTATAAGAATCTAATAAGACACCAGCACCTGGGAGGGTTTTATATCACCTTGGTGGGGTATAGGGCAAAACTAGGAAATGGAGAGAGGGGGTGAGTGTTGGAGGATGGAGAGATAAAGAGGTAAAAGAACAATGAGAGGTAAAGAGAAGACAAGAAGGAAGCATGGGTAGTGTTTAAGAAGACAGAAAAGGACTCAGAATTATAGGACATGGCTTAATATGATAAGATATGAGATATCTGTTAGCAGTAAAAAATCTGTCTAGTGATCTATAGTGTTGAGATCTATTCTAGACAGTATCTGATTTAATCTTGCTGAATGTGAGGGTTTGTGATAGGCAGTTTGATTTCCTGTTGTTGACAAATCATGACGGCATTACAGGATAGTAACATCTCACCGCAGCACTTCAATCAGGAAGGAAGTTCAGCAGTGCGGGGTTAGGACTTTTATCAACGACAGAACACCAACAAGTCATCACCGCAGCCGTCACTTCCTTCTGACAGGTATTCCCAAATGACACGCATGCAGCATTAACACAGACTGACAGCAGAGCAGACAAGGGAGTGCAGATGAGAAGTAGATAACAGGACAACCCTTCCCTTACCTTATCTTACCTTTCCTTACCTTTACTTGCACCAACATTTCTTTGGTTATTGCAAACTTGGCTTGATGCCACAGTACTTTATGCTGCGTTCCAGTTACCTCAAGAGTCGGATTTTGGAGCTGGGAATGACATTACACCCGAGTTTACGGAATTCCAGTAAACAAGTCGGAAAACCAAGATGGACACCTAAAGTTAGCCATCGTTAGCCGTTTTTTACAATTGTCGGCTGTCGTTAGCCATTGTCAGTTGTTGTTAGTTGTTGTATACACAGTATTTTACTCTTATAAACATCATAGCACCCTGCTCACAGTTAGACATTGGTCAGTACAACGTATATCACTTATTGCTTTCACAAAAACAAAACAGAAGTGCTTGTAAATAATACATTACGAGAGCTTTCACTGTTACTCTTTACTGTTGATGCGCTACGCTGCCATCTTGGATTCTGACGTTGTCGTAGAGTCGGGGCTGGTGACGATCCTCCGACTTTCCGAGTCGGAAATCAGACTTCAGGGGTACGTTCCAGATGAATTTCTTGGAAATTCCAACTTCCGAGTACAACTGACATGCAGCATTAGATATAGAGTGACACAATTACAATCCTGAGGTCATTCATCAAGTCCAGGAAAGCTGATGATTATGTGTGACATTTTGATCAGATTGCCTCAGCTAAAGCTTCACTATCAGATTCCCAATAAAAAGTCTAATTAAACTCATCAACCTCATTTATCTTTAAATATTATAGATATTATCATCTTAAAGGATGACTGGTACATATACGCTGCCTCTGTTTTGCTAACCAGGCCTGGTTGCTGGCATTTTACAAGTCTTTGATCCAATTCTGTGTGCTGTAGCTCTGCCAAGAAGAAGAATCCCCACATGTGGCTCTAGTGATAACACGACATGATCACCTTTGGTAGAGAAGCGTGTAAATTAACATGTTTATAACATTATATATTCAAAAAATCAACTGGCTGAAAATACTTTAACATGGTCTCAAAGTGGGGAGAGAAAAAAAGGTGAGAAAGCAGGAGAGTGTGTAGGAGTGAAGTGAAGAAGAGCGGGAATGTGTGTCTGCATTACACAAAAACTTTCTTTGTGGTGAGGCCTAATGTCACCTGACAGTTGTGTGGTCTATCAGTGAAGTGTGTTGAGTGTATTGTGAACTGAGGTTTGTATTCAAAGTGATGAACACACACATAGATCTGCGTTATGTAGTCTTGTCTGCTCCATGAAATGTCTATATCCTCGCTGCGCAGTATTATTCCAGAGCACATCTCTCACCCACGCCTGGGTGCTGTGCCTTCCATTGTCTAGGTTTGAATCATCATATTAAAGTTAATTGTCCCTTATACTCGATGACTGCAGAACCAATTCTGAGCTTTCTCCGTTCATTGCATCCTCAACTGTTGACCTACCTGAGGAGATCTTAGAGAGGGCAACAAGTTCATCATTGGACAGTGTACTTTTTACTTTGCATCAGTGATACTGCTCTCAGAGGGCAATTATCAACTTTGTGAGAGAGAAGCTTTAATGGTTATTGTTCAGCAGTGCTGACCATTACACATCTGAGCAGTTTTAAGTTCACCGCACTGAAGTTACTTCTAAAATATCCAGCTATTTGTCCACGATAAAAGACGGGCAGTCTGTCTTCCAAATATTACTGCGACATAACTGTCCACTCATGAAATTTAATCACACACTTTGTTGGGTATTCCTGACCCTGAGAGTGAGAATGAGCCGTAATAGTTTCCAAGAGTGGAATTTCACAGTTTAGCAGGACACCATTGGTCAATGGTGAGCCACATTTTACAACCGCTGTAAAATCTAGTCGCACAGGTATTTAAGAAGCTGTCCAGTTTGGGTGACACCCAGAGGAGTGGGGCTTTCGACTCTGCCCTCAGTAAAGACTTCTTCAGCAATGAGCATTTTTTGTGCCAATGTGTAGCTCTTTGTAGTACAATTCTTTTCCAACCTGCTGGCTACCCTCTTGGTTCTTGGGTTCAGGTAGCACTGATAGCTACGAAGTATTGATGGACCCACAGCTTGTGACCAGTCCACAGACTCTCTTGTACTTCCCTCTAATGATCATGTCTAGTCTTAAATTCAGCAAGAGTAGACCACAGTTTACTTTAAATGAATGATTAAGACCTAGCTAAGAAGTGGCGCCCCAACCTGATCCGCATGGCTTTCCATCTAACCTCCAATTTCCACTGCATCAAGAACAGCTACAAAAAGGCTGTATCTGCCAATTGCAGCTGGTAGTAACCATTCAAGTTAATGTGTCAATTTCCACTGGCTTCTCTTCGTTCCGCTGCAGATTGCCGGACTCCACAGCTGATCATGAGAGTTCTATTTTTTCTGCAGATTGCCAGAGCATGCCAGATAAATTCAGCACCAATTAACCCGTGCTGGAAAAGAAGTCGGGCACAGACACAAAATAAAACATCCAGCTTCTTTTCAAAATAAAACACTCTGTGTTCGTATTTCACACCATGCAAACAGGCGTAGATGAACAAGTGAAAGGTTTTTAGACAGCATTTCATCCCAATGACACCATGGATGAGGAGATGCTGATTCTAAAAGTCTAGAAGTGGGTTTCCTCCTCTAGAAGGACACAATCTACTGCTTATATGATTATGTGGCCATCGAGACAACTCGTAACCGCACGATTGCACATGAATCTGTTGCTTCTTGTAAGTTCTTGCAATTCCTGCTGTCCGTAATCCGCCACAAAATTCGCCTCACAAACGGATTCAGTAGGAAATGGTGGTCAGCGAAAATCGACGCCGTTCCGGATGCGGTGGAAAAATCGGGGTTAGCTTGAGCTTTATTTATTAGTCCGTATTGCTCCAGTGTCAACTATGTCATTCAGAACTACGACCAGAATGAACAGGAAACCGAATTAAACAAACTCCAGTGACTTCCAGCCTTCACTTAAGGCGGTCTCTTTTCAGAGAATATCATCTGGACAGTGATGAGTATGACAGAGGAAGGTTCAGCGGGTCTTGGGAGACTCAGAGTCAATAGGTTCAAGGAAAGGACAATAAGATTATCAACCATGACAGAGATCAGGACAGACATTACTGTCTTGACAGGGTCATCCATTTGGGAACCCCCCAAAAGGGAAAGGCTGAGTGGTGAATTATACTGACATGCAAATGCCTTAGGTCACTGTGGACTGTTGAGGGAGAAGGTGAGTCACGATGTTGAAAAATGGAGCGTAATGTTAAGATAACAAGCAAGTGAATCCTTGTGGTAATTACTGGTGTAAGATAACAATGACCCTTTTAATGTTAACAGCTTAAATTTTGTAGAAGTAAGTTGATCATCCAGCTAAATTGAACCCTTTTTAATGGAATAAGAAAATGCAGGAACGTACAGATCCCAAGGTGAAATTCAGCTCAGTCAGTGTGAGGATTTGCTGTTCTTTGTTGTCCTTTATCATCTTTATCATGAGGATCAAAAAAATGTTACTCTGCGGTTTCCCCCGCTTGCAGTGTTGATATTATGTCAAGACATGCAAATGCTCCCCTGTCTCAGTCTGTACACCTTGCACAAAAACCCTGTGACATTGGTATCCGCTGTCTTATCTCCCTTTCTCAGCGATAGTGAAGAAACATGTTTAAAAAAAGGCTGAAAGAGTCCTCGACATTGAGCGCCTCTGTGGGGGTGTATAGAAAAACAACAACAAAGTGTGCTTTAATGCTCATCATCTGCTACTTGTCTGTGTTTCTCTGTAGGAATAATGATCATGTACTTTAAAACGTAATGATTTCAGTAAGATGGTCATCACTTATTGTTGCCATGGCGCTGTAGGAGACGGCTCCCTCTCTAGTAGCTCTTTTGTACAAAGTGTTTTAAACATAGACTGTATATAGAATAGACATCATCCACCTCCTCACTGGGTGAAGCCTTCGCGAGAACAGCACCCCCTGGTGGTTGGCTGCAGTATAGGTCCTAAATCCCGCTTCCTCCAGCAAAATGTATGGAGCTGTAAACAGACTTTAGAAATTTAATGTCAATGTTTCTCCCTCATGATTGCGATGTTGATATGTAGTTACTGTTAGACTGGTTTGCGCTCAAATCCTCTTTTTTTCTGTGCATCTCCATTTTTTACATTATCATCAGGGGTTATAAAAACAGGAATTGATGTCATGTTTTCTATGATCGGCACTTGGATTAGTCTTTTAATTTCCCAGAGGCAACCTTCCCGAAAGTGCCAATAAAGTTCTATGTAATCTAGTCTGATTTTATCTGATCTAATCTAAGGGTAACTACAGCAAGCATTCATACTGACGGAGACTGATTTAGTCAAACGCTTCAAACTGACAACATAATTAGACTCATGTCATGTATGGATGTGACAGAATCCCGCTCACTGTCCAACTTGCAAGTTTATTGGTAACTTTCTTTGATCGTCTGTCGCTTTCTCTACGAACCTGCCCCACGTATAAAAACTTGTTCTATTATGTATGGATGTGACAAACCTCCTACCCACTCTTTGACAAGTTTTTATCTGTACTGTCAGGAATAATGACCTACTGCTGATGTTGTATTGCATCAGTGTACAGCGGCCGTAAGGAAAACATGCACCACGGCGTATTAAGTCCTAACCATGCTCTGGTAGTATTCATGTGTGGGAGTAACAGAATGTGGATGTCAGTATTTGCAATTCTATTAGTACTTTGACATGCAGTTTTTAATCACAGTTGGTCCCTCTGCATACTCTGCATATTGTCTTATAGTAGCAAGACAGGAGATAAGAGACAGACGACCATTAATGGCAGAATTATTCAACCCAAATGACTGAACATTATAAGAAAACGGAAGTGTCTTCCAGGCAAATTTTCAACCCACTCTGCTCAGAATTTACATTTTTTGAAATCATGAATCTGGCATTGCCGTCAAACCCTGTTTGTTGGGATCCTGCTCAACACAGCACATTAACTCAAAGGTTCAAAACCGAACCAGCAAGGCAGAGGAACACGAGCGACTCTGCGCTTGTCTTCATGCATCAAATTCAGACATTACCTCAGATCAGTGAGACACACGAAGACTGGAATACACACGAATTTGCCAAGTGTTCAATTATAGATGGGAGAGAATTATCTGCTGATTTTTTTTTTTTTTTCAGAGTAATTTGCGACAAATGCTATTTCCCTGTCAGAAGTTTCCCAAACACGATGAAGCTTGTGCTTTTCAATTCCAGCCGCTGTTAATGAGACTGTCATTCAGATGGATGTTTGTGATGAGCTGAGTGTCCTGCTTTCAACATGCAAGCAAAGGCAGACTCTTGTCAGCATTGCCATGGTTACCTCATAGCAACTGAGAGACTGCTTGAAAAAGGCACTGATATAAATAAATGGATGTTGCTTTTTTTAAGGTCAATAAATATTTCAGATTAGTCCTACTGTCGTTATAGGATTTGACAAGCCTTTGAGGGCAAATGCTGCTATTTTGGATAGAAGTTGCCAACAGCTGTGCCCGTGTGTATTGACAAGTATCTCTCCGAAAGAAATGGAAAATTCCCTAATGCAGCAATTACCCAGCTGTGGTACTCTGAAGGAAACCCTGGCAGCGAAACTAAATTTAGAAATCTTTTCATGATAGCTATTTTGTATTCTCTTGTTGTCTCTGGCACAGGGGTTGCAAAGGTAATACAGTTGAATTCACTCTAACTCCAGTGGCCAGGTGGAATCTCTGCATGTGATAATAATGTACATAAATTCTGCTGTTGTTTCTCTACTGGCCTATGAGTAAAATTTATGAGTATTTGATCTCAGTTTGATTGAATATAGACATTGAAGTCTCAGAAGTTACCTGATATGTTTGATAAATTGCAGTATTTTTCTGTTTTTCTACTCTCTCCTGCCACGATCAAAGAAATCAGGGAGTTAAATGCAAAAACGATGTCCTATTTTCTGATAATCTATTGATTTTGCTCAGGGATTAACAGTTCCTGCAGAATTAAAACTTTTTAACTAATATGCAGTCTTGCTTTTCATGAAAACCAACAACTGAATAATCCAGAGATGTGTGTAATTGGATTTTTGCCACAAATTGATCTGCTAATATTTCCAAATCAATTTTGGAAGATAATACTGTGCGCTAGGGCTGGGCGATAAACTGAAAGTTTTCCGATACCGAAATTTCGCCCTTATCGGTATATTCGGTGTCAAAAATAAATAAACAAAGGTTGGTTTTGGATGTGTGTTGGTAGGCTTGTTTCATGTCCCTTTAAGATGCCGTCCCATGTTGGAGAAGTGACTCCACCCCATCCAGTCCGTGACAAAGAGGGAAAGACAGGTGAGGAGATGGAGGACGGTTCAAAAGTGGTAGCGGCTGAAGTAGACGAAGTTAATGTGTGAGGGGATGAGCAACTTGTGGAGTAGTTATTGTCCATTTATCGTTATCGAGTTGAACTGCTCAATATATCGTAATATTCATTTGAGGCCATGTCGCCCAGCCCTACTGTGCACTTTTTCCCATTGTAAAGAATACCAGGTCTCTCTTTGGTGCTAAAATGTACCTGTACTCTTATTGTGACACTATCAGCTGTATTTATGAGCAACATTTCATTTCTGCCAAGACGGATAACTGACTTAATAATTCATCATCTGCTGATAACAAGATTATCCTGATTATGCTGTGCATCCTGAATAATCACACTGTAGTGCCTTTATGGAGAGGCTGTGGTTAAGTGTGATAATTTACCTCTTATTTGCATTATTCACTGCATCAAAATTATAATGAGAGTCATAGGACTGAGGGGGAGAAAAGAGGGTCAGCGGGATGCAGCCAGTAAAAAGCCATGATGAGAGACCCTCTACTGGACCATGCGTCAGTCAGGCCCCATGCTACACACCAAGTCAACATTTTAAAGCAGTAAGGAAGAAATACTGTAGCCTAATGCACATGTGCATATTGGGCTATGTTTAAAGCAAAGGCTAATTAACCTAACTAAGAGGCAGCACATCTGTTTTTTGGTTTGGATGAGAATCTGCCACACTTCTATGTGTGTGTGTGAGTGTGTGTCTGTGTGTGTTAAAGGTTGCAGAAAGTTCTCCTGACATCTGTGTGTGTTTTTCCTGATTCTCTGTGTTTACGTGTTCTGCATCAGCCTGGAGGATAGCTGTCGGCTAATCAGGCCACCGCTCTGCTAATAAACTCCGCAATGAGCCCCTAATTAGTGCTTTAGCCCTTGTTTGAGTAGTGTTTTTGTTTAGAGTCTGCGTACATAGCTGAATTAGTCTTTTGTGTACTTCATAGAAAGATGTACTGTATGTATTTTATGTTAATTTACCCCCTTTATACATACTTTTCTTTCTGTTCTTTATTTCCACGATGCTTAAGGTCATTAATTCAAAGAGTTTAATGTTGTGCTTGTACGATACAGATGCTCCCTTAAAGGATGATTCCACTTTATTTAATGTTGTTCTCACAAAGATTATTAGGCCCCGTTTATACGTACCCATTCATTTTTAAAAACAGAGACATTAACCCTTCATTTAGACGCTAACAGAGAATTCGCCCCTGAAAACAGTACTTTTTAAAAACTTTGGCCAGAGTGGAGATTTTGGAAAACTGTGTTTGCTCGTTTGCATGTAAACAGAGAAAAACTGAGATTTGAGTAGCCAACAGCAGATTGTGCCGGAAACAGGGTTAAATGTAACATTGTTCACTATCTACAGTCTATGTTTACAATCTATGGATGCATGCAGAGTAGCAGTCGCATTTATGCTGGTGCAAAATCTTTGTATTTGTTTGCATTTGCAAATACAAGTTGACAAGTTGTTGTTGTTGCTGCTATGCGGGATTTTGATTGGCTAATGTGGGCTTGAGTCTCTTGCTACACTGCCACCTACAGGTTTGGCATGCTCTTGACGGCATATATACACAGGTCAGTGTGAACGAAAACTTTTCGAAAACCGTAGTGGTGTGCATGCAGTTTTTTTTTTGTAAACAGGGAGGGTGAAAAGTCCGTTTATGAAAATAGCCAGGCACGCTTGAACATAGTCTTAGACTGGTAGTAAAACAGAACCACTAGTTTCCACAGATAACAAAACTTTGAAGAAAACTTAAAGTTAGTGTGACTTTGCTGTCCCTGTAGTAAAAAACTGAGCTCACACATCTACAGTGGGTACAGGCGAAGGATGAAGCAGTAAGCATCCCTGCAAACTGTGATAGATGCTCATACTGGAAAGCTTGGGTAATGTCCTATTAACCTCAGCTCTTTATTCCTGGTGTTTGTTCACAGACAGTTATTTATGTTACCTTAGAGAAGCATCATTCAGCTTTATCTGGCAGTGCCTCACCTTCACCTGCTGTGGGAAGGTTGACATCCCGTTGTTTTCAAGCAACTCAACTCTCCCTGTACGTGAATGCCCTCCAGTCAAACATACTCGATATTGAGTGATTCAGATAAATTAGCTGCATTAACCATGAAGTCAGAGGCAAAGTGGCGTTTTAAATGTATATTTTCCTCCAACCTTAATTCATCTGTGTGACCCAAAGTGCAGAACTTTTTTGAAATTAAGTACAACACTGAGTAATAGAAAAAAAAATCTGCAGGGAAATAAGACAAGGTGGCAAGAAATTTATATATTTTTCTTTTTTATTTGACTTTGTCTGAAAAGAGAACTTTGATATCCTAAAGACAGAACAAAATCTAGACTCCAGCCCGTCAGAGGCTTCAGAGCAGCATGATGAATGTCCTCAGTGTGAATATTATAGAGGAATCAGCCTGGTTTCCTTTTCTCTCAGCTCTTTCTGTTGTTGTCAGATTAATGTGCTACTATTTCCTTTTCTCTGAAGCCTTCTCTGTAGGCTTCCTTAAAAAGGCTGTGCTGAGTCGACAGCCTGTGAAATCCAGGCTCCTTGTACAGATTTAGTGTTCCACTGGAGCATCTGAATCTGCTTTGTTACAAACACGCTTAGTGTTATATCTGCCTCTAGAGCCAAAGGCTCTTTAAATTATGCTTTTGAGACAACCGCTGGTACCGACATCAAATCGAATAAAGGAAAAAAACAGTGTTGTCAACAATGACTCAGGGGTTTTGTGATTGAGCAGCACACCCAAATGATGTTTATGAGTTGCACAGATTTATTTGTTCTTAAAAACTCTGAAGGGAGGGATACGGTACAGTGAGCCAGTTAGGCCAAAGAGAGTCCCAATAGGCTGAGACAGGACCCTGACTCACAGTGGAGGAGTCTTGCCTCACCAACTGAACTTACTAAATAAACAAACAAGTTAACCAAACAGAATGAGGTGTTTGACACAGTGAAGTGATTAGTAAGAAAGCTGGGTAATAATGGGGGATATTTTAAACTCATATTTACAAAATCTAAAATGTTTCAGCCTCCTCCTTTAATCAGACTGGGGCAGAGGGAGGCACACTGAGACTTGAATGTTATATCCTGTCATGTCTTATAAATAATAATTTAGAGGAGCACACCAAAACTTCAAATGAATTTAGTTCCAAACGGACTCAAAGTAGTGCACTAACATCTGGTTATTTATATCCTAACAGATCCTAGCATACCTGGCTTTTACATGATTACACTTGAGTTATTCTTATTTAGGCTGTTCCCAAAACACAAGTACAAGTGACCTAAGTTTTACTGAGAAGTTTGGGAACTGAAACTGACTAAACGTGGTTTTGCTACCTCTCTATGAGCCATAAAGATAAACATTAAAAGTAAATAAGACTGTAACACCACTAAGTCGCAAATTCACTGAACAGAAGTATAAATGCAACAATTTCTTTTTGGGACAGTCTAGGGCACACCTGTGCAATTATCATGCTGTCTAATCAGCATCTTGATATGCCACACCTGTGAGGTAGATGGATTAGCTTGGCAAAAGAGAAATGTTCACTAACACAGATTTAGACAAATTTGTCACCAATATTTGAGAGAAATAGGTCTCGTGTACATAGAAAAAGACTTAGATCTTTGAGTTCAGGTGATGAAAAAGGGGAGCAAAAACAAGAGTTGCATTTATATTTTTGTTCAGTGCAACAAGCATTAATTTCTAGTTTATAAAGCACATATAAGACCTGAAAAGATACTTATAAATATTAAAGATGTTGTAAAATGTTGTTAATATTAGCACTATCAACACATTGATTTTTTCAAGATTACTATAAGTTTACAAGCCTTAAATAAAGTCCTAACTAACATCTATTATGCATTATTAGCTCCCTTATAAGCACTGACTGGATCTTGCTGTTTAGATGTTTATTAAAATTGTTCAGTAATTGCTCAAAGTGCCTAACACAGACATGAGAAGAATCATTACAGGGGTCAGAAAAATAGATTAAAAGAAAACATTCAGAAACTGGACCATTAAAATTTGACATCTGATTAAATAAAAAGGTATCACGATGATCAGTTAATATTGAATGGCTACTTACAATAATCCGCATCAAAAATTGACTTTTGTAGCCCTCTCATCATCCTGGATTAATTACACTTCATATTAATGCCATGTAAGGAAAAAAAAAAGATCCTGTGTCCCTTTTTAACAGCTCACAATCCTCATTTGCAGCTAGTGGATTCAAAGTAAGAATACTATCCTATCAAGATTAATGAAAGTTGTCTAAAAAAGGTCCTACATGTGAAGTTAACCTCCACACAACAGTTTGCCTTCCTCGCCTCTCGTGTCTTTTTTTTAGTGTAGTGTTTGGCTCTTCCAGCATGTAACTTGACCAATGACATTTCAGCCTCCTAAAATCATTTCTATGTCAAAATAAGTCCAGCATGCTCTCGCCCAAGCTCCTGAGGTGTTGTAGATGCTGTCTAGAAAAAGGAGCTGTTAAAACGAGAGGACGAGCTGACGCTCTGACTTATTGCCACCTCTAAACAAACTGCTATTACCTTGGAAATGCTGTCTGTGCTGTATTGATGTGTGCTGACAGAGTGGAACCTAAGTTCACGGATTGGCTTTTGAGGGTGTCTGCGCCTGTTAGTGTGTGCCTGTCATTTCCACTTTCTGGCTGCATGGCTCCCTGCCTCTCCTGCTATCTAGATAACTGCTTTTATGCCATAAAAGTGTGATTTGCTTTGTCAGGGGCTTTGCATCGTGCACACACACTCACACACAAACAAAATGGGACTCTCAGTAAGAGATGAGATGGTAAGTTAGAAAGAGAGAGGAGAGAGATCAAAAGAGAAAGTGAGATGGACATGCTGGGCCAGACATTTAGAAAAGTCCTCCTCTAAAAGTCCTGCTGAGGACCAGTTCAGTAAAAGTGAAATGAGAGTGGAAAAAATTAAATAAATCGAGATAACTCAGTTTTCTGGTGCTTTTTATATTTCAATCTTCAGTCCAAAATGTGACTCCAGGTAAAAGCCAGAATTGTTCTTCAAATGAATATATAAACTCAGGAATGCCCGATACTTATAAATCTGTGCCCATCTGCTTGTCTTAATATCCTCAAAATTAATGAGTTTTTAAAAGTTACCCCCCTCAAACTGTTTGCTCATACAAAAATGCTCATTCTTTTTTTTTTTTGCATAAGCAGTCTGGACCCGGCTGTGAAGATCTTTACTTTTGTTGTAGAAAGAGAGCTTTTTAACACAGGTGTTAATGGAGATATCCTGGTTTCTGCTGCCAGCTTCACTCAAGGAACTGCATTTTTCAAGATCTGCATGGCTTTACTCTTCAACACTGACAGTTGACGCTATGTTGATTTATTGCGCCTGCCTTTGCAGATCTAAGATCTGTAAGAAATGCTACTTTGAATAAAAGAAGAGACAATTTTGGTAAGAAAGCTGTAAGCGAGGACTAGCATGTTTCAACAACAATTGCTGACTGTTGTTTCTATTCTGCCGAGTGGGTTAATTTGCTTTGTGTCATTCAACATGCTTCAAATGAAATATAATTGTCTTGTTCTCCTCATATGCTCTGGAAGAAAAACACAAACGTCGGTGTTCTGTTCACAGATTCACATGACAAAATAGTGTTGTGTCGTTTGGGAACGATTAGTTCAAAGGAACCGAATCTTTTAAGTGAACATACTGAACCGAATGACTTCCTCAAGTGATGAGTGAAATCAGAAAATAAATCACACATTAAACTACACTCACTTTTGTCAGACAAAACGACCTTTTTTTTTTTTACTGCTAAATTGCCACCACAACAACTTGCATACAATAAGACACAGCATGTAACAAGTGGTGCATCAAACCCGCAGCATCCTATCGTTGCAGCGGTTTGCGAGGGAACGGTGCATGTTCAGTGTGAAGTCTTGTAAATGTTCACTGAACGAATCACTCACTGAGCCCAATTTACCGAGCAGACCTGATAAATAGCCACCACAGTACAATCAAAACATCATGACTTATTAAACAAGTTCATTTTTACAAACCTGTTTGCCAAAGCAACACAGCCAAACACTTGTATCCCGGTCCCAGAAGCTATGAATTGAACTGAACCCTGAAACGTTCAGCTGTGTAGCAGTTCAGGAGGTCGGAGTCACAGGCTTCTTCCCCCAAGCACTGAATGATTCAGTGATTTGGTGAACGAATCTTTTGAACGAATCTTTTTAGTGAATTGATTCTAGTGATTCAGTACATCTAAAAGAACTGCTGTGCCCATCACTACAACAAAAGTGAAGTTAACTGCAGTAATTAAAAACAACATCTCAAAGACAAATGAAAGGTGTAATTTTCTCAACTACCTTGTGGAATATTTCCGTCTTTTGAAGAACTTGAAAACAGAACTACTCTTTTACATAGTTCCTGTCTTCCCTTCCTGCTGCAGCGCTCCTACCAGTAAAACCTATCATTACCCTGTTGCATACTACTGCTGGAGTTCAGTCTTTGGAAGCAAAGGCTTTTACGTAGCACCTTGTACCGAATACAACAAAAGAAAATGATATATGTGTGGCCTTGAAGAGTAGTAGGGTTTTTATGTGTATTGCCTTGACTTGTTCAGACGAGGTGAGGGGCGCCGATTCTCTTCTGTTAACATCTTCTCAGACTGATAGAAAACACAACAAGGGTGCTTGACAAGTGGGTGCTGACCACATATGATTGTGACAATAAATCTGCAATTTATTCTAACCGATAATACAGATATTATGGAGGAAAGAGAAAGCCAAGCTGAACAGTCAGTGCTATGTGCTGTGAGATGCTGAGAGAGGTGTCACTAAATTGCCAACATGAATCATGTGGGTGGCAAGACTTGAGTGTTTAAGTATTTTTGACTGAGCTGAGTGGGGTAAAATGTTGCAGCGTAATGAGTCGTTGAAGCCAAAGCAGCTCATTTCAATGGTCTTATCTTGCAAAAATAAAGGAAAGCTTTGAATTATGAAGTAGGATTAGGAGATTTTTCAATGCAGCTTTTGAAAAAGTTTCTATTTCTCTGTTCTCTAAGTGCAAATGTCCCACAGTGCTTCAAACGAAAATAGTTGAAGGATGTGTTGAGGACGAAATTTGCTTTGTAGGGGGATGGCAGGTTTCCTCGCATTGTCCCATTAACAGAAAAAGGTTTTCAGACGCTTTCTGACTCCTAACAAGCATCCTGTCTGAACTATGCTGAGGATTAAAACTTAAAGCAAAAGCATGTGATAATAACGATGATTATGATGTGCTTTCTTTCAGTGCCTGGCTGTGTGGGAGTCTTTTCTCCTCTCTCAGAGACCAGAGCCAGAGGAGCAGAGAGATATGGAGGATGCTGCTTAAAGGGTGGAGATGATCGCAGCATGGAGATTGCCTCCGCTTTCATAACAACATAAAGTACACCCTCTTTTGTTTTTCCAGCACAGCCAAATAAAGACTTTCCACAAATGCAAAGATGCGACATGTATGAAAAAAAGAAAAAAAAACACTATGTCTTGCTGTATTTCTCACTGTTTCTTCATTCTCTGTCTGGCCAAAGTAATAAAAAAACATTCCAGTGATGACTGCGTCACTAAAACTAAACCTGTGATCCAAATGCCCACATACCGTTGTTTACAGGCTCCGGGATGCACTGCCAAAATTTACAGGGATTCCTGGCTAAACTCTTCTGTAAATTTAGTCTGTTTTCTGCATTTCAGAAATACCTTAAACGAAGTTACCAAGGCAACAAATCAGAAAGTTTGTTATCCACTTAGTGAAGAAGCAGCAGAACCCAGAGAGAATGAGGGCAATGCCGACTTCTCAATGTGTTTTAGGATTAGTCATCATGAAGAAATGATTTGTTGGTTTAAATTGGTTTTGACTGTATTATTTGACAAAGGACACCTTTAATGCAGAAATGCAGATCTAAGAAGACAACTTCTCCGAGTTTAGACACAGTAGTAAAAGAAAAGCATCGCATTTTAGACAAAACCACTGACTTTTTCCCTTTAAACTTTAAACAAATCCTCTCATGGAGCTCAGGTACTGACATGGGTCCAGGGGATTATGTCTCTGCGGCCAAGTTTGTGTACTGAAAGGTCATTCTTGTTTTTGTGAATAATAGTTTTAAAAATGATCTTTAGTCCTGCTTACTGACTCTTTCCTTTGACGTTTGGTTAAAAAGCGAATGAATGTAGGTGGTTGACATTTTTTGGGGGGGAGGTCAAAACTTCTGTTGCCCTTGTTTTCTTCTCAGTGGCCTTAAAAAGCTGACATGCTGCACAGTTTGAAAAGCTTATTTTGTAAATGGCCTGGCCATTACAGATGCCTAGATAACAAGATAGGGGCCAAATAAGTTTGGAAAAAAAGCACAGCAGCTGTCTAGTTTTGAGAACACCTCGTATGAACAGAAAAAAAATTAGCTTTCTAATTTTCTTCTTTATTATTTTGGCAACTTTTACAACAGGTTCCATATCAAAAGGGGATAAACAAAGAGAAAGAGGAATACATTTCATCATGTCAGTAAACTTGAAAAAACTTTAAATTCGTACCAGATTAATATAGTCTGTGGCCATGTACTGTGCTACCATGTCACTATGCCGTGGTGGCACAGTGAAACATTTCATTTTGGTACTATTAAGGGCTTGATAAGGTCTGAACACAGACACACATCTGTGCCTTTTTTAGCAGGTATTCGGACATTTGCAGACATCTTTGGTCTTTCTTTGAAGAGCCGTACATCTCTCACAGCAGAGTCCGTTATATCTTTCAGCTGAAAGCATCGTCAGGTCTTGTTCATAGCGTGTTTTCTGATTTTTCTCACTGGCCTTGACATATTGGCAGAGCTTGTACACCACAAAACCCTTCGTACAAAGTCACTGAAGAAATATATTCAAAATCACAGTTAGATAACTACATCCAATGGAATGAATAACACGCAGCACTATTGATCTTCTGTCCAACATTGTGCAGAAACGCTCTCTGAAATTCTCGCAAGATTGTGTTTTTGTCTGCTTTTTGCCGATCGAGATTCCAGTTTACATCTGTAATGACTTTGTAACTGAATTATTAATCTTTTATACTGATGTAACCTTCTCTCTCAACAGTGCTTTTATTATCTCTATTGAATATTTAATAAAAGTCTGAATAAAGTGATTTTGACCTAATAATAAAGACAGATCTCACACATTAAAAACTGCTTTGTTTTCCATCTGTCGGTGTGTTAGCATATAAAGAAGCAGAATTGATGTAAATAGGCAATTGTTCAACGCTTCTTCTTGTTTTAAATTCTCATCAGCTCAGAAAAGGTGCTGTGTGTCAATTGTTTATCCACTGCAAGTAGAAATTCTCTCCAGTTGTGTCAAAACATGGTACAGAGTTCTGCTAGTTGGAGGAGCTGATCCTGAATGCAGCAGCTAGTTTTACAATTATGTAACAGCATATTGATTAAAACAAACACTTTTTGGAGCACATATATCGATCATTGCTCGAGAGTCAAAGTGAAAAGTCTTGCTTGTCCTTCAAAATGGTTTGAGCTGTGGAAACAAGTCTATCTACAAGAGGTGTTTCTGCACAAACTCAGGGCGTATTCTTTTCACTGCGGAGCACCTGCTTGCATTAATGAAGGTCCATGTTTCAACGAAATTTTTGGGCTTGAAATATTTCCGACAGCAGATGTCAGACTACAGGAAAACACAAATCCTTGAAAGTTTTTGTGAGTAGATAAATGTGATCATTTTTGAACACATGAACTTAAAGGTACAGTGTGTAGAAATTATACAAATCATGTTTGAACATAACAAATTCATACAAAACAGTACTTAAATACTTGCATTTTGAAACACAACTATACTATTGAAGCAACTACAATGATAACATTCGAAACAATTTCTCCCCCCGATATTATCAAGACCAAGTGCAATCACAAACAATAACACACCACTTCATTTCACACTACCTACCTCTCGTCGCCTAACAAGGGTGCAAACTGGATCCAAAAAGCCTCTTGTACTCGACCCCAGACCAACTGCACCCAATGATAAGAACAAACAAAATAAATACACGCAAATGCTGAGTTTAATATCACAGACAGCCGGAAAACCTCAGTTCAACTTTCTTTTAATTACACTTACTTTTAAATTTTTCCTCTTTCCACAACAACCCGCTCATTTTTGTGTAGCAAACTGGCGTGTGATATTGACTGTTAGATATTTAAGATTCAGATTTAAGCTCCATGTCCAATCACACCTGTAGGTTTAAATTTACAAAAGCAATGGTAGCCTTCAAGGACAAAACACTCCAGCCCGTTTGTCAAGCTTCTACTACCTGAAATTTCTATCAATACAAAGTGTTAAACATGTATGAAGACCCACTTGTGTTTTTTGAGCTCATGGTGTACCTGCCAACAGTTTGAACCACAATGAAGACACAGGGAAACATAGTTAGATGTTTAATTCCTAATCCCTGTTATATGATTATTTTTAAGTTAAGGTGCAGTGAATTCATGAGATAATTTCCAACACTCAACACCCACAGTCAGCTCAGCCATAATCCACAGTATGGGTTACCTCTGACCATGCAACAGCACAAGAACAGCCTGCTGTAAAGAGATGAGCCCTAACTTTTTTAAACAGTATTCAGAGAGCCAAAATTCAGCGGTGAAATTACCATCCCCAACTTTAAACAGCAAAAGCTGTCATAGAAAGAACAGACCCTCCCCTCACCTCAGAGTTAACTCTCCATCTTTGGTGGTATTCAGATTCCCATCACACTATCATATATTTCCATAATGTTGAATGAAAACCGAGTCAAAATACATGTCTAAAAATCTTGCTGTGGCACCATAAATACAACCTTGTTTGTTGCGGACGCTCAGACTGATTGGAGACATCATTATTTCTAAAACACTGATAATGGACTTCCACTAAACCCTCACTGCAAATTAGCTTGACTGGATGTGTTAAGAATAGATGGCTGCTTGTGACACCAGGGCCTGTTTGTTGTTTCCTCCATTGATTCAGTCAGGCAGACTCCTTCAGCTTTGCTAATAGCAGGGTGGAAAAAAAGGATTCATTGTCTACTTCTCTCCTCCTGCACAGTGAGAGTGACTGCTCAGCTGTACATGTTCACACTAAGTAGGTTATCCTACACACTTAATCACATTAAATATTAAAGCAGGTCCTTTAAATAAAGCAGTGCCTTTAAAATTAGGCCCTCTGCAAGCACATTTTCGAATGCTGAGGGGAATACAAGCGGGGAGAGCGCAGATGTGGAGAGGGGGAAGGAGAGAACATGTGTTTTTACATGTACACACAGCAGAGCTCTGCATGGATGTTAAGTTGCTTAGAACTGCTGTATTCTCCACTCGCTCCGCCCTGCATGAAGGTCCCTGTTCAGGGAATATATTTTATTGTTTGCACAACATGTTTCAATGCACGTATGCATGTGAAGTTTGTCTTTATATGGAAGAATAACAAGGCCAACTCTTGTGTCTGTCTATTCCCCACTTAGACATCTTTAAGATAAATGCCTGCATGAAACATTTTACAGAAAAGACCTTGTACTTTTAACTGCTTACACTTATTTTTGAGTGAAACAAACAACACATTTGCATCTCACTTCAGTATTTCTATCATGTTACACTTGATTTCTCGCTGATCAGCATCCTGCATTCACAGACATGTATCATACAAGCACATCATCACTGTCCTTCAAACTTTTAAGTTGTGGTGACTTTAGCAGGGGTTATTCAGCATGCTGTTATTCAATGAATCGTTGCATCACCCACATAATCTAATAGCATAAATAATCTTAAGTGTTACACATGTATTCTTATCTGTGTAATATTATTCCTCTGTTAGGGTGAGTGTATTATAAGAGGAAAATCTTCACTTTCTGTGCTGCCACCTGATGCAACACAGTGTCAAGACAGTACACCTTTGAAGCCGCTTAATGCTTCTACACTGTGTCGGATTATGCAATACTTAAAGTCACTGCAATAAATGAAACACACTAAAGTGTAAGGACTAGATTACTTTATAATGTATGAGAACTGATACATAATTTGTGATATTGCAATATCAATGCAGGAAACCTGACTAACAAATGTCGTTTGATGAAGGTCGGTTTTCCACAGGATTCTGTTCCTGTTTGAGGATTCGTCCTATCAAGATTACTAATACACACCACACTTCTAGCCTTTCATCCACTCAGGGTGCTTTTACACCAAATGGCACATTCACCGTCACAATCATACACTAAGTAGAGGCAGAGTACATTATGTAGAGTGCACTAAGTTCACATGAATTCACACATCCCTGGTAGCGCCGCTCAGGAGTATGAAGGGTTTGATGTCTTGCCAAAAGACACTCCAACATGTGAGCTGCAGGATCTGGAATTAAACCAACAACTTTTTGATAAAGAGATGACTGATTTTACTGAGCAACATGTGCATCTGTCTCCCACTGTGTAACAGCTCTAATAGAACATATCTGCAGAGCCGGAGAGCCAAGGAGGTCCACAACCTTGACAGATCCACAACCCTCTTTGCGCCCCTGTTGGATGGAGTAGGTCATTGCATGACAGATACACAACCTGAAACACGTGACCGCCCCTTCTTGCTGCTTCTTTCTCGAAAGTTATCTGCTTGAATGGAGCAACGTCATGATCGTGTATTAAACGTGAATCAAGTAAATTATTTGTCATTAATAAAACTGTTGTCTTAAATTTGACGGAGAAATAAATGTCAATGTAACAGGCTCCGTTTATGACATTTTCCCGATGCATTTTCCATGACAGTCTGAAATGCACATCGAATCTCATCAAGCTAATGCTAACATTAGCTTGTCCGAAGTCAGAAATGTACTTTTTGACCTGTAGGCTTCTAGCATTGTCGTGAATGAAACAGAAGTGTGATGACAAATAAAGGGCATGAGATTGCACATGGAAATATATGAGAAAAACACACACAAAATATAACATTCATCCAGCTCTGTGACACATACAAAAGCATTCAGGGAGTCAAAATCATTGCAAAGGAATGAATAGTATAAAAGCAAGGCCAATCCGTATGATATTGGGATAATACAGGTTGATATTTAAGTAGAACAAATCCCGCAATATTATAGGTTAACAGACAGAACATTAAAATATGATAAATATGTATTTTTTAATGAATAAAATCTAGATTAATTTCTAATTATGTGACTGTGGGCACTTATTTTTTTTAAGATAAATTTAAAATCCTTGAAAGGGAGTGGGCAGAGTCCCAAGAACTGAACACTTTCTTCACAAATTTCAAAGACTTTTATTATTTTGATTCTATAATAATATGTGACAGCGGTCACTTATTTACTTATAAACTTGTTTACTAAATTAAATTTCTGGGCACAAAAAGAGATGTGGAACAGCATTCAAAAAGAGGGTTGTAGATCAGTGCCATGCAATGACCTACTCCGTCCAGCAGGGGCGCAAAGAGGGTTGTGGATCTGTCACGGTTGTCGATCTGCTTGGCTCTGCAGACCATAGACATAATAAAAGATAGACCCCGCATCGGCCGCTACCACGAATGGGCGCTGTCGAGAAATGCGGCCGCCATCTTGGTCCGGTCATCCGCCTCACTCTGCACCGCTGTTTAACCGGCGGAATGAAGTCTGAGCGCATTAAATGAATCATAGTTCGCTCAATACTACGTAATTTTCTTCTCTGCAAACGCCATTCAAAGAGGCATGATAGAGGCCATATTTTTTTTGGCGTTTTCAAATACTCAGAATGAATAAAATGATATTTTAGAACATGGCAGCAGTGGCTGTATTATAGTATAACAATTAATCAAGGATATATCTAGGTTTAGAGCTAGGTTCCTGCTATGTCTCAATAATTATTAATAACTGGCGGTTTTAATAGGCCAATTCAATATATATTGATTTGATTATATTTTATTTAGTTTAATGTTATTTATCCATTTGTAGACACACACAAATAATGTCATATAGAAGCACTATTTTAATAACTGGAAAATACACACAAAGAAATACACACAAATATATAGCCTACATATCAAAAAAATTTAAACACAAGAACAGCATGACAGGACAGCATCTAAACTACATATCAATTTGCTTGTTGGCTACACAGCACAGAGGAATTACTTGCTGCGAATTTCTCCCTCTAACAGCAATCTCCCACTTCTTCCTCAAGTTTTTGTCCTTAGGAAATCTTCAAAATGAAACAGGAGATCACCACAATGAAATCTTTAATAAAACAGATAATAAAACAGAGCTCACTTTCTTCCTTCTTCTTTCTATTTTATTTCTTAACGTTTCTTAGAACCTCTCTCAAACAAAAGTTTTTCAATCTAATGCAAATCTGTTGATAATCGAGCAAAGTTGCTATTATTGTGAATAAGCTAGCTGTTCGCAAATGCTGTTTCCTTTTTGGAGTTGACCGATAGTCTTCCTCTTTGGCCTACAAATGACTCTACAGTCAAGTGTAATGTTGAAAAAACGTGTAATCATAACTGTGAAAAGTTATTCCTTGAGCCCTGTTCTCTGCTGTCCGCCTGTTGGCACAGGAATACGCCGCACAGTGCTCCGGCATCGCTGAATGAATGAATGAATGAATATGATTGACCGGAGCGTATGGGAAGCTTGACCTGACCAAGATGGCGGCCGCATTTCTCGCTGCCTGCTCACCGGTGGGATGTTCCAAATAAGTGTTTGATGAGACATTCCTCAAAATTTCTCAGTATTTTTTGACACCTTTGTCCAACTACTAATTGATGATTTTCACTTCTAAGAATCTGACAACAAGTCTGACAACATGTGGCAGGATAATGCGTCTAATACTCGCTTTTAGAAGCGAGTATTTTTATTTTTTTTTTGCCTTTTATTTGTCTTTTTGGGTACTCTGGCTGTCAGCCAATTAACTCACAGGGGACATTGTATAAATAGGAGTAGTGGCAGCCATCCCTTCCTTTTTTCTCTGGCCTTTTTCCCTTCACTTCCGGATCGCCTTACCTCTTTCCTCACGCAAACACCGGTGCAGGTAAGTTAACAGTGGCTGCTCAAAATGCAAACTGATCAATTATCTTGCTGATTTGTCTGTGGTTCGGCTCGTTTTAGACGCAGTGTCCGTTGTTGCCGTGTGGGTTAAGTGTCTCCCTGCGGACTTCCAGCGGTGCTGATTTAATGTAAGTAAAACATTACTTCGCTTTGACGCTGCTTTGCCTTCGCCTCTGCTCGGGACATTTGCTCAGGACGTGCAGCGATTGAGCTTGACGCTGCGTGGTAGAACGTAAAGAGGAACAAACTGTAACGGGCTGATATGGCAGACTGGCTCGGACTGTTTTATTGAATTCAAGGGTTGTGCTGCTCTTTCCTTAGCTGGTCTTGAATGAACTGATTGGTTGAACTAATTGTGGGGCTAACTTTTGTTGATAGTTTTGTTTCTTTTCTTTTGTTTTCATCCTCCTTGGGTTTTCTTGTTTCTTTTCCTCTATTTGTGTTGTTTGTATTTCTCTTGTTTGAGTTCATGGGGAACATCTTTTTGTTTAAGTTTGTTTCCATGGACTACCATTGAACTTTTATTTCTTTTGTATTTAGTAAACTATTTCTTTTGCTTGAGTACAAAATTTTGCTCACGCAGTTGTTCACAAAGTGGTGAACCTCGCCCCATCCTTGCTTGTGAATGACTGAGAATTTGTGGGGAAGCTGCTTTTATACCCAATCATGGCACCCACCTGTTCCCAATTAGCCTGCTCACCGGATGTTCCAAATAGATATTTGATGAGCATTCCTCAAATTTCTCAGTATTTTTTGACACCTTTTCCAACTACTTTGGCACGTATTGCAGCCATCAAATTCTGAGTTAATCATTATTTGCAAAAAAAAACAAAGTTTATGAGTTTGAACATTAAATATCTTGTCTTTTTAGTGTATTCAACTGAATATAGCTTGAATAGGATTTTCAAATCATTATATTCTGTTTTTATTAACATTTATCACAATTTCCCAACTTCAATGAAACTGAGTTTTGTAGATGAGAACATCTTATTTTCTAAATAATGAGTTTGGGGTCAGTCTATTTTGTTAATCAGGTTTAATTCTTTGACACTATATGTCTGATTTGTTAGTTATTTGGTTGTCATTTATATTGTTTAATTATAGTTTGACAGTATTTTGGGTGTGAGGCCACTAATCCCCCTTTTTTGTGTCCTTTTTCAGTTGCTGAGAGCCAACTGTGGTGGTCCCTGGTGTCCTGGTGGTGGTTTCCCTCTTTTATAGTGTGCTGTGAATCCCTGGTCTTTTAGTTGTTGCACTGTGTGAATTTTTGTGTGATTGTTACGTTATTTGGTGCCCTCCTTCCCTGGGATCCCTTCACCTTTCCTTTCACTCAACGCACTTTGGTAAGACTCAGCTCCTGAAAAAGGTTGCTTAAATAAAGAATTCCTTTCTTTTTAAACCATGTCTCCTACTTCTTTTAAAGGTAGAATAAACCTAACTCCTTTTAAAATCTTCAAAACTAATTCCTTGGGCCAAATTCCCAAGGTGGCGTTGTTGACTTCAAAATCATCCAAAAACAACTGATATCTTCACCAAACTAGGATCTTCTCTATTTTGCCACAGTTAAAACAGTATCAGAAGATATTTTTAGTAGTATGCCTAATATATATCTACGGATTAATAAACTTGTTTACATTTCTGGTTAGTGTCTGGACGATAAGCAGGATGATGTAAAGTTAGAGTGTGGCTCTGCCCAACAGGATCCCCTCAGGAAGGATTCAATATCCTACAATCACTAAGAAATTACACATCATCCCATACCTGGTTGTCTATGTGTGCGGTTTGGGTAGTTAATCCTGTTGTTGAACATGGCATGTTCCTGAAACAGTTTGCAACACAGTATATGAATTTCTGAAAATGTATAAAACATGTTTAATGACTATAAAGTTGTATGGCACCATTCATTCTGTCCATGTTGAGGATTTTAAATCAAGTAATATTTTAAGCTGTTGTTCCAGAAAAATGACAAATGGCTTACACTAGTGGGTGAGTGACCATTGTCGTCTGTCTATTTCAGTCCATTTAACTGCTCACTAAACATGTGATTGTCTCTGCACAGGTAGTACATGGTGAACTCAGTTTCTGAATCGTGAGTGCATTTACTCTTTTCAATAGACTGCAAGATTAGGTTTCTTCTTTTAAATTGCTCCGAACAAGAAATGTACAGGGTTAAAGACCTCAAATCCTGAGAGACAGGTCATGCTTTATTTTGAGTTTTTTTGAATAATTTTACTGTCCGGTGCAGGCATGTGTTTCTGTTGACTTTCAGTGGCTTCTCAAACACTTTCTAGACTCAATGTTTGCGGAGATTGTTGCATTAAAACTTTCACTTTATTATAATTTCACTGAGAATCTAACCTTTTTTTTTATTCACCCTGGTTAAACCTGCATAAAAACAAAAGTGAAGATAACAGTAACATCTGGTGTTTCAGCGGTGTACTCTGTAGGACACTCCCTCATTGGAATAACAGCTGAATTATGTATTATCTCCATCAAAATGCTGGTTCTTTTTAACAAACAGACCGGCTCGTGTGTTGCTGCCTCGCCTTATGTCCTGCTGTCTTTGGACAGCATGTTTGGACTTATGCAACATCCCTTCAGTGTAGAGAGGATTCATAATTCACTACATAAGAAGGAGCTTTCCGTCGCTGCAATAATGGCCTGGCAGAGAATTAATGTTCTATGAACTGAAGCCAAGAAAGCTGGTACTGTACGACACACTCAGTGGGACTGAGGCCTTCCAAAATGGCAGCACTGAGGGGCCCCCTGAGGCCCTTCAGGCGTGGTTATCTGTGTGTGCAAATTTACCGACACACACTCCCATTTATAATTCATTTAACCATACATGTCCTCCTTTTTCTCCGTCCACTGCAAATGTGAAAAAGTATATGAGGTGAGTTTTATTTACACTACAATCCTATAGAAAGTTGTGGTTGTAAATAACTAGCGGCTGCTTTGTTAGATTTAGTATTCCCTGATGAAGACAAATTTACGAGCTTCATGAGCCCTTGGAGTCCTGATAAATGGGCTCATGTTATCTACCGGAGAAAATTCAAGTAACGCAAGTTTTATTAGATTTCCCTCCATGAAATGAATGCCCTGTCAAAGCTGGCCCCAGTTTACCCCTAATGCCAGCATGTCTGAACAGACCGGCTTCACTGAGGTAAAGATTTTGTAGACTTTCTAAATTAAGTAAATCTCCTATCACAGGGATCAGTCCACAAACTACAAGAGGTCTTGGAACCCTAGCAATCACAATGGATTTAAGAAATCATGTTAGCAATTATGAATACAGACAGTATAATACCCTTATGGGCATGTGCATGTTTCCAGTTTGTTTTAAACATTAGAAAGGAGCTTATATTAAGAATGAAACAGTGTTTGGGAGCTGTAATCCTCCCAGTTTCTCTAGTTATTTTAAGATACCTAAGTAATCTCAGGGATATAATCAACTGCCCTTGTTTTTTTGGGTTTTTTTTTTTTTTGTGCAAAGAAGTATTCAAAAGCTTATCTGCAAAAATTTCAGGCTATGGTGTTTTTAGATCAAGCATGTATCTTTGAACTTTGGTCGCTCTCAGGACAGGATGCTCCTGGCATGCTTTTTGAGACAGCATTGCCCAACTTTGGGGGAGTTTTAGGGCCTTGGATGGAAACAAAATAAGACAAGACAGTTTATTTTCATCATACACTTTGAGAGTAAAACTGAGTAAAACTTCCAAAACCTTTGGTAAAAAATGTGAGAAAAGAAATGAGACAGAATTTCAAGGAAAGTAGATGATGGTTCCTGAGTTGACAGATCAGATTTCCACATTAAAAAATTGTTCCTGTATATGCCGAAGTGCAGTGTTTATGCTGAATTCAAAGATCTGAGTCAAAGATGGTCATCAGTCTTTTTTTTATATATATAGATGTGATAGGAAATAGAAAAAGAGATAAATAAGATGATCTTTTCAGTTTAATTCTTACATGACTAAAAGCAGTAAGTCAACTGGTAAGAATAAGCTAGTTGGATTTACCATACTCAGATATGAGTAACATTCAAGGTCATAAACAAACATTAATATTAATCAGGGTATTTAAATAAAACATGACAAACAGCCACAATAAGATACACTGTTTCTGGGTGATCACAGATCACACACAGCTGGTTCTAGTCTTCATCCCTTAGCTGTTTAGACGCACTGCATGCAGTCACTGTTTGATATTATGCGGCTTTTTCAGAGCCTGCTGCTCAGCTAACAAAAAGTATGCAAAATCTGAAGATAAGATAAACTCAAAGCTAAAAGGGAGGATCAAATAATTGCAGCTTTTGTCTAACGTCTTTTTGAAAGTACCACGCTCGTGTCTCTGGGCTGTTGAAACTTTGACAGAGCTGTAATGACACTGTGTAGTTCAGCAGATGACATATTGGCACAGAATCTTTCCTCAGCATTTCAACTTTTTTTTTCTCAATGCTTGATAAAAAGAAAAATTATTCTTCTCTTGTTAACACGTTTTATCCCTTGGCTCAAGACTCTTCTGTACCTACCTTTAAACAGCTACAGATAAAAGGAAACAAAAGGCTGGAAAGTTAAAGTTTCATCCTAATTGGGCTTTTTGGGATTTTGAAGATTTTATTATTCTTCTCTCCACTTCATTTTGAATTTGTGTTGATAAGTTTCTTCAAATTTTTCGGAGCCTTTAGTTCGGGTGGGTTTAAGTCGTCAACCAGTACCAAAGTACCAAACAAACACAATATAGCACAGAAGTGAGATCAGAGGCATGTTTTGTTTTATTTTATTTTACTTTTTCTATCTTACCTGTACTCAAAATCAGTCGATTAATCTAATATTCAGTCTTTATTTATGCCGCAGAAATTTATATCAAATTTTATGTCTATACACCTCACAACTTTACTTTTTGGTCTGCTATTTACACAGACAACACAAATCAAGACAAGATTAAATCTTATCTTGCGGGCCCTTGAAATACATAATTTTTTTTTGTGATCCTTGATATGATTCCTTTAATTTACAAGCTTTTTTGGAGCTTTAGTTTGATGCTATTTTTTTTTTTTTTTCAAATAATTAATTTAAGGTTCTGATGACCTTTTTTTGGTGTTTTTGTTTGTGCTAGCCCTCTCCTTTAAGCAGGTGTTGCTCTGAGCCCTGTGCATGCACATGTGCCTGGCCAAAGTTGGCTCTTGCAGTACTGCAATTGGTGCAAGATATATATCTCCATTTAAAGGGTCAAAAAAAGAAAACAAAGGATAAAGCTGTAAAGTCAGGGAATTGCTCCTGTGAGTCAACAATGTGTCTGCTAGGCATGGTGAAAGATGCATGGTGTAAGATAGAGGATGTACGGTGCAGGATAGAGGATGTATGGTGCAGGATGCCATTTCCAAAATCATCAAGGTCACAGATCATCAAGTTTACAGCCCAATAGTTCACCAGAATGTATATGCCTTTTGGTTTCTTTGCAGTAAACAAGTGAAAACATTCAGTATATGTTTGATCATTTATAAAGATCTTACTAACATCTCTCCTCTCACCGTCTTGTGTCCAGAGAGAACATTTCTTGTTAATATATTGGCGCTATCTCAGTAAGGATTGATTAAGTGATTGATTGTGTCTGTGTGTGCTGTCTTATTTATAAGGTGGAAAGTCATGTACGTTCTGCAAAGCTTAATTACATCCCCAGATAACATGATGTTGATCATCTCAGTCAACTTGTTGAATACAAATAACCCACAGACTTTTGAGCATTAGAGTATAGGTAGTGTTAGCTAAAAGATGGAGGCTGTAATAAGTTGGATCCCTCTTCTTTTCATGCTTGTGTTTTCGTCATCTGCTCTTGTTCCGCTGCTGTTTAATGACTCTGAAGTTAACAGTGTTATGATAGATCAAACTAAATGTGATTAGTGTGATAATAATTAGGATGCATAAACACTGAAACTCAATATAGCTGCCCTCAGGGGAGATGAAATTAATGGAAGGAAGATTATATAATCCCTGTGTCGCCGTGTTGTCCCTCTCTGAACTTCCGAATGTGTTCTTAAAAATGAATCACTACATTTTCCTGCAAAATCTCTTCCAGTGAACATTCATGGCCCGGCTTGCTCTTTCTATTTCTGACATCATGTGAGCACTGCGTCCCACGCAGTGAGCCCCAAGGCTGGCAGTGATGCAGACTCGCAGTCAATGTGACATAATACAACTTAATGACCCCAACCCACTCCTTGTGCTGCACAGACATGACTGCTTCACCATGTTATTGTCTTGTTTTTACTTCATCAGCCTGCTGTGACCCTGCTCATGATGAATGTTGTTTACAAGGAGGTGAAATCCGCTGTGTGGAGTCCGTCCCTTTAGC